GTTTGGATGTGGAACTCATTTGAATAATACCCAGCATGCTTTGCATGTGTTTGTTTTTACATTTACATTTTGGTCATTCAGCAGATGCTCTCATCCAGAGCGACTTACAGTCAGGTGCATTCAACTAAGGTAGATAAACAACAACATATCAAGAAAAAAATTACATTTATGTAAGCGTTACTGAGAATGTAATTGTAGTTTCATTTATTTTATTAGACGTCTTCAACTTTCATTCAGAACCGAAATAAACCTAATTTCAACATCTGGAAAATACATATTTTCACCTTACATTCAGAACCTAAAATGAACCTACTTCAATGTCTCGTATTTTACACATCTTTTTAACGTAACTTTGCTTACTGGGTCTATCTTTCATGTCTGTAACTCTGGTGGGAAATGTAGAAGCTGACTGTAAACCCCTACCTGAGGGCCAGACAGGCTTCCAATACACCCTAAGCAGCTGTGTGTGTGTGTGAGTGAGTGAGAGGATATTTCCTACTGTATTTAAAATCCAAGACATACTACCTACTGAAATAACAACATTGTACAAGAAACATTAGCTTCTAACTAACAGACTCCAGTGGACTGGTAAAATCACCCTGTAAATCAGTGTAAATTACACCGCACCGAGCAGCTATACTAAAGTGCGATCTAAAGAAAATCATTGGAATGTTCTGGAGGCAGAATTGTCATGTTTACAGTGTCGCCCCTAAGGGGCCAAAGCCAAAACACTCTCCTTTGAACCTTTTACTTTATCAAAATTGGTTATAGTCATCCCTCTTTTCCCATGTTTTCTGAGCCAAAAGTCAATTTTATTACCTCCAAAATAGGAGAAAATGTTTTCGAAAAAGAAAGTAGCATTCCCTGCAGACCGTTCGTGACCAGACAGAAATGTCTCCAAATGTTATGGACTATTCTGAGGTCCTGTAAGGGTCTGACATGGAGATTTATTTTTTGGGTCATACAACCCCACCATCAAAGACTGGGGTCTGATTCACAGAGAAGCGACAATGCATAGAACTCAAGTGCCCCCTAGCTGAGAAAGATGCATGATGAAGACAAACATGTTTTGAGTGTCTCAGTTGTATTAACCTTTACCAATGCGCTCTTTGTTATCCATAAAGCCAGATGAGCAAGAAAAGACACTGAAAAAGAACCCATCTGACTGATTACTTTGACATTCCCTAAAGTAACTAAAGTTAATGTCAAAGTCACGTCAGGCAGACTTTTTTTAGGACTGTTCTTGACTCGTTTTTCTGAATACCCCAGGAATAGGATATGTGCGTGTGTGAGCTGAGCTTCAACTTTGTCACGGAGTGAAGGAGGCCCCATCCTGCATTTATGATGGCTAACCTGTCGCTCTTATTTGCCCTGGTCATCTGCCTTCTGCTTTATAGTTAGGCATTACTTCAGCAATTAGGCCCTTGGTTCTCTGTCAAAGCAGTGCCCTGTCCTCTGGGAATTAAAATATACTTTACCATCTCATGTCATCAGTCTCTGCTGAACATTCAACTACCTCAGCTTGTCCCTGAATAATGATGGGTTCTTGTTCTTGCACTGAAAAACATAGCTGGCAGTCTATATGAAGCTTTGTTTACTTGGTCACCAGACCAGTTTTTTTGTACTTTTAGGTTGTCCTTTTGCATGCAGTTCCCTGATGGAAATTTCTCCTCCTGCTGCAAAGACAAATTTGACTTGTTAATAATTTGCAGTGTATTTGTAAGGCTACATGCAGTAGCAAGATGAAAACGCAGTAGCGACAAAGTGAAAGCATTCAGTAGAGAAGGCATTATATGATTATTTTCTGATTATTTGCACTAGACTAAACCAAGGAGGGTATTTGTATCAACTGACAATAAAAGCTGCTGGAATGAGACCAACTACTCTGGCCTTCGGTTTAAGAGGGCCTGTTGTGTGGACCTATGGCAGTCTCTATGGGGTGCAATTATTTTGCACTATGACCTATTTATTGACATACCTCCATAACTTGCTACATTTGCACACACTGTATATATATTTTCTGTGGTATTTTTTACTTTGTTTTGTTTTACCCCATATGTAACTCTGTGTTGTTTTTAATCGCACTGCTTTGCTTCATCTTGGCCGGGTCGCAGTTGTAAATGAGAACTTGTTCTCAACTGGCTTACCTGGTTAAATAAAGGTGAAATAAAGAGATCAAATCAAGGTTACAGAAAAATTGTGACACACTGGAGCCGTAACAATTCAAAGGAAAACTGAGAAACAAAAAAAGTTGGTTGATAGTTATGTTTAGAGTTATGTTCATGTTGCTCCTGGTTTTTTTGGTATGTTCAAGAGAAGTGCAACAGTGTACTTAAAAAAAATAAAGTGCTTTATTTCTCAAACTCAATGTTCGTTTTCTACAAACAAAAGGGCAGCAACTCAAACTTCTCATATTCAGAGAAAGAGGAAATGTAAAAAGTTTTATTTATGAAAATTAATTTCAATAAGAAAAGAAAACAGGCGGCGTTGACCATATATGTACATTGTACGGAAGAGTATTAGGGCCAAGTGAAATAATAATAATGGCGACGGGTGGTGGTACTTGGATTATAATTTTTTGGCACGATAGTAAAGAATAAAGTCTAAATTAAATTTTGTGAATAAAGCGGCAATATTTAGAGAATAAAGTGGCAATATTTAGAGAATAAACTCTAAATTAAATTGAGAATAAAGTCAAAATGTTGAGAATAAAGTCAGTTACATTTCAAGATTAAAGTAGGGGATTTGGTTAACGGCATGTCTCCCTGGCTCCCTGTTGCTGGGCGCCACCAATGAAATGCCTGCAGTTAGACCTGGTGAAACTATACGTTAGAATTGGCTTTAGTAAGAAGGAAATCCTCTCTTTTAGCACATAACAACAATATTATTATAAGTAGTAGGACCTTGTAAAGGTTGTGCCACAGATTACAGAAAGTCGCTCTGGATAAGAGCGTCTGCTAAATGACTAAAAAAAAATATATATATATATAATTAAAATAAAATAAAAAATACAAATAAATAATAACAATTTTAATAAATAAAATACAATTATTTTCAGAAGGAGGAACCGTGGTTACATACATAGGTAGAGAAGTACTATCATGCAAAAAATTATAATCCAAGTACCACCACCTGTTGCTGTTTATATATTTTTTCCTCTTCACTTGGCCCTAATACTCTTCTGTAACATTGCTACCATTATAACCATAGATTTTCATGCATAACGTTTGTGTGTGTGTGTGTGTGTCTGTGTGTGTACATATAATGTGCGTGTGTGTGGGGAGTGTGTTTGTGTGAGAGAGTCAATTGACATGTAAATGCAAAAGGGAATGTCTTGGGTTCGACATCACCATATATTACTAGTAGCATTGTGCTCCTGTATTTCCATTGGCAAAAGTAGGGTCTGAAATAGAAATAAGACTACAAATAGAGACCTCTCAACACCCCTAACAAAACTTTTTTTATTAATTTATTTGGATAATAATACTTTTATATAAAAATGAAAAAAAACATGGGTGGTATTCCCATGAGAACGGCATTATTATCTCAAACATATACACTTGCCGAAGAAGTGTATGCAGTGCTTCAGGCAGAGAAAGACAGACAAAACATACAGAGAGTTCAGAGAGTTTGCAACTAAAGAAAATGACTTCACATCTCATTGTAGACTCAGAAACCACTTTTGGTCAGAAGACTCAGGCTGACTGCATTTGGGGGGTAAAAAACAAACAAACAAAAAAAACTGAAAACGACGCTTACAGTTCACTGGAATTACTTCACATATACTGTGTATAAGAAACACAATCAATTTTATAATTTCAGAGTCCCTGGATGATTCTGGATAAGGTGTCAGTAATTTAACATTGCTATATTGCTGATGACATTGAGAATTTATTCAGATGTTAATACATCCTAGGTTTTTTTCTCTGCTACCACATCTGTTGCTGTTCTTCATAATTACATAGAGATACAGTGGATCAGCTGCAAGATTTGCGCAAGTGACAGAAAATTACCAGTATATACAAACACACTGTATGATCAAGGTGGTCGTCTGCGTTCAATGCAAATATATTTAGTCCATCCATGTACTTATTTATTACTGTGCTCACTTCTGGAGCATAGGAACAGCAGGTTTGTGCCCATAAGATGAAGAGGTTTAGAGGACAGAGTGAAATATATGTATGAATTAAAAAATAATATCTCAACAGCTACCATTTATATTTACAACCAAGAAGCCCAAGTTAAATAATCATCATACAAATCCAAACCCATTTCACATAAAAATAAACAAAACCCAAATCTAAGCCTCCGACTAGCCTCCGACCTGCATTTTCTGCAGGAGCCCTCTGAATGGAATTTCAATGGAGAGCGATAAACACAAATATACAGACGTAACCTCTCCAAAAAAAAAAAAGCTGCATATATTTCAGTGATTAATTCTGCGCCGTCTAAGTGCAGTGAACTGCTAGGTCAATGTTTGGGCAGGTTTTTAAAAAGTATATATTAAGAAATTATTTAGTAAACTTTTAATCCTAGAATGTTAAAAAAGAGGGTGTCAAGTGACATGAGGTTATATAGTGTGGATGATGGCATCACCTTTTAGGTTTGCTTCCTCTTTTTTTCTGTTTTTTTGTGACTTTTTCAATATAAAACAGAGTAGGTTTGCGAATTGGGTATTACCCATTGGTCTATTAGTATATTGATTCAGATATTGAGTCTTCAGTAGAATAAACACATTTGCTTTGAGTTGCTGAGACAACGTTTCAACATCGTGGCACCGTAACGCAATTGTTAAACATTTGTTTCAATTAGTACAGATGGCCTCCGTAATTCCCTAACAGATTTGCCTCCTACAACCCTTCCACTCTCCCTTATTAAGTCCTCCTCCCCATCTCACGTCACCTATTCAATCTCCCATTACCCTCTCCATCCCGTTTTCCACTACCTCTTCTTTCTCCTCTAATCCCCCTCTCATTTGTTTACCTTCACTAACCTCAAACCCCGCCCCCCTGGCTGATGTAATACTCTGCCTCCCGTCTTCTGACAGGTAAGGGTTGCCGTGGGGATGCCGCTCCGCCGGTGTGGGGATGGTGGCGGCCTCGGAGAGAGGTGTGGTTGCTATGGTGATGGTGGGCGGGGGGAGCAGGAGGGGGGTCGCGGAGGGACGGGGGAACAGCGGAGGCTTTGATTGGGATTATCCGTGTGTCCATGACCTCACAATCAACCTGCATCATCATCTCATATCCCTGGGATTTGTTATATAAACTCTCTGTGGGAGGGAGAGAGAGAGTGTAATGTGAAAAAAGAGACAGATACTGATGGGGAGAGGAGAGTGTACAATAGATAGACAGATACAGAGGCTAACTAAACAAACAAAAAAAAGATTTTATTGTCACATACCCCGGATAGGTGCAGTGAAATGCGTTGTTTTACAGGGTCAACCATTGTAGTATGGTGCCCCTGGAGCAAATGAGGGATTACTGCCTTGCTCAAGGGCACATAACACATAAGTGTTGACAATTTTACATAATACGTAAATTGTACGTAAACGAAATTCATAATTCAAAGTTCTCCATTGTTCAAAGATTACGAGGGCATCTCAAAAAAGTGATATCTGACAATATCTTTAGAAGTGTACAGCAGTGCAATGAGGCTATAATTTGGCATAATTCTAAACTGCTGATAGTTCTATCTAGATATAAAAATAAAAAAAACTCACCATTGACGGACATAGCTGGCATCACCAGAGACATTTTGGGCCGTGTGGTCTTATTGTGGCTGATGGCTGGCAACAGCAGGTGATCCTACAAAGAGAAAGTATGTTCATAAATGTCGGACATATTTGTTTTACATTATGTGAATGACACCAACTGTCCGTTTTGTTCACACTGTTTCATTTCCGTAGAGGTTTGGCGTTGCTGTTCTGTCTTACCCGTCTGAAGGAGACCACGTAGAAGGTGTCCTCACGCCGGTCAATAGCGTCCATGAAGTCACTGTAGCTGATCTCTGGACCAGCAGGGAACACTTGTATCTGACTGTGAGAGACAGAAGGGAAGTTGGGCTAAGACAAATACCAATAAAAATGGTCGGACTCATTCCAGCAGCTTTTTTCCTCAGTTGATGCAAATACCATATTTGGTTTAGTATGGTACAAGTGAACAAGCAAAAGCCAAGGAATCACTTAGAAATGGAAGAATATACACCCACTGTTGACTACTGGGAAAAGTAGTCTACAACGGTTACCTTTCAATGGAACGATGGGTCTGTATGGGAAGATATCTTGAGAAGTTTGTCTTCCTTAGCTGTGCCTTCTGTAGAAAAGGGAAGGGAAACAACTATGATGCATGTGTGTAACCAAACAATACACATGAACACCAACGAGGTCGTTCAACACACCAGAGGGTATCATGCCTACTCACGTGCACATGTGAACTTGAAATACTACGAAAATATGATCTGATACAGAAATACTAAAAAAGTAGATGAAAACGCACCTGCGCTATTCTAGCTTTTTTCACTATCTTTGGCTTCCCTCCAGACATCTTCCTTTCGATCTGGTGCCTGTGAACCCATCCTCTCAGCTCATCCGCCAGCCTGAAGGAGGAAGTGAAACAGTCAGCTCTACTCAAGATGAGTACACAGAAACTACTAATAAACACATACAGTGGGATCTATGAGGATATGATATACACCGCCTCCTTTGAACACAGATATATGAGAGCACAGGTGCACTGAAGATGGGAGTAACAATATCATATCTGCATCATTTGGTGAGAGATGGGATGACAGAGAGCGACTCCTGAGTTGCGACCATAGCAACGCTGCTGACCTGAGGGACTCGGAACGGTTGAACTGCCTGCAGTCATTGGAGGTGAAATAGCGGCCGATGTCCTGCAGGACCAAGTCCTTCACGTCGCTGAACACGTCACTCAGGTTCCTGAAAACAGCCAAACATGAAACCGCAACTTTGAACAGATTCAACATCCTTCTGAAAGCCTAACCAGTATATCACTAATATTCTATGGAAACCTAGTGCTTTCAAGGGCACAAGTCCTTAAAAAGCTGTAAACACAAAGTAAACTCTTAACAGGCAAGTCATATGTGGACATCATTCATTTTATGACAGCCTGTTACATACTTCCAAGATCAGACCAGTATGACTGCATCCAAATCTTCTGCACAGCTCAAACACTGCCTTGTTCTGGGGAGGCAGGTAGCTTGGTGGTTAAGAGCGTTGTGCCAGTAACCGAAAGGTCGCTGGTTCTAATCCCCGAGCCGACTAGGTGAAAAATCTGTCGACGTGCCCTTGAGCAAGGCACTTAACCCTAATTGCTCCTGTAAGTCGCTCTGGATAAGAGCGTCTGCTAAATGACTAAACTGTAAATGTAAAATGTTCTCTAAGGGCATTCTACTTGACTGAAGCCATGTTTGCAAAGCCTCATCGATTAGAACCTTTGGTAGATGCATGATTGGATGTACGACCCACATGGCCAGCAGTCGCAGATGGCTGTGAAAAGGTCATAACGAACAGGCTCACCATCATGGATATGCAGAATTAACTATGAATTGGACTTTATTACCCACCTAAACTGATATGAATCAGTGGATTCCCTCTCTTCCTCTCCTCCCTTCCACCCATCCTCTCCTCCCTCCTCCTCAGGATCCATCCTTTCCTCCACTCTGCTGTGTTCCTGAGCCGCCTCAAACTCCATGAGATGTCTTCCTGTGTGAGGGACCACCTCTTCCTGTAACCCCGTCTCCAGCTTCCTGTCTGTGATACTGGAAGAAACATTTGGTCAAAATCAAAACATTAAAATCATGGAGTAATGTACTCTTTAAAAACAAAGGATTTGTTTTGGCCAATTTGCCGATTGTTAACACTTCATTGAATGGCAGTGACTATGAACAGTGACTTTTACCTGACAGGGCCGAAACTGAAGGTCATAAAGAGTAGCACTGCCATGACGCAGACGGCCCTCTTGTTGTTACCAGACTCACTGCCCTGGAACACCGAGAGAGGAGTGTTAAAGCACAGCGTACACACGCAAGTACAAACATGTGTCCTCAATGCCCTCTTTGAATGTATCCCTAGTCAATACTTTAAAAAATTAAAATACATGTACAGACAAATCTTAACCACATTCTTAAGACTTTCATTTGGAAAGATTAATTGAAAGCAATGCAGTCCATCCAGTTCATTAGGGAAATCTAGCTCTGGCTCAGTAATGTAATCGCCGAACACATTTGCTTAAAGCTGCGATATGTAACTTTTTGGTCGATCCGACCAAATTCACATAGATCTGTCATTCATATTAAAAACAAGTCTAAGAAGCGGTAGATCTGTTCTATGTGCAGTATTTCTATGCTTCTCTCAAGTTTCATTTTTTACTTTCGGTTTTGTACACTAGCTTCAAACAGCTGAAAATACTATATTTTTGGTCCAGGGCCTAAAATTAACTTTTTGGTCCACCAGCCACTGTGGCAGGTAGATTTTTTAAAATCTAACAGCCACTCAGATTCTTTACCGGCCAAAATATTTTCTCGCCATTATTACAGCGAAAAATTACAAATAAAAACAGAACGGATGACCATGATTAAAACAAGAAATGTGTTAGTAAAAAGTAATGTGGTATATTGCTCAATTTCCCTTAATTTTAATCAAAATATCAGAAGAGACCATTTTCAGCTGCGCCTATAAGGGCGGGAGGTTACCGTGGTAACAGGGCCACTTGTGTCGTGTCATGTGTGTCTGTGATATTTGGGATCTTACTAGGGCATCTCCTCGCTATCAGTTGAAGCAGCAGACTCAAACTAACGTTGAAAAACAACCTAGCTTGTGAATAAAACAATGTAAATAGCCAACAAACACGAGGACAAAGTCTCACTGTAGAGTTAATTTGACCAACTTCTATGCGCAAAAATGAATCTATCAGCACTTCACTCAGAGCGCACAGCTCTCCTGCCAGGCAGTGTTGTTGCGTGAGGTGGGATATAGGATTCGTATTTCTTTGTGTGATTAGCAGCTATGAAACAAAACAGCAGAAATACTTTGAAAACAGCTTCTGCAGCATTTTTCTACAATTAATCGCAACTAGCACATTTTACATTTACATTTTAGTCATTTAGCAGACGCTCTTATCCAGAGCGACTTACAGTTAGTGAGTGCATACATTTTCATACTGTGCTCATACTTGACTTTTGAATATTTTTATTCGTAAATGTAATGCTCACACTGTAGAGCCCTGCAAATTGACCACCTGCCAACGTGGCTGGTAAAATAGACATTCTTACCCGCCAATACCTAATTTTATGCCCGGTTTTGGTTATTGAAAATACACAGTATTTCACAGCGGATTTGATGGTACACATTGCTTGTTTTGTCACAAAGTGAAATTAGGCGAACTATTTGAATTTTAGCAACCAGGAAATGGAAGAGCGATTTCTACATATTGCACCTTTAAGGGAGGTTTCTTGGCTCTCCAGCTCCCCTGCTGCCTTCTTTCTATCCTACCCTCCCCTTGATTCTCCTCCTGTACCTCCGCCACTACTCTCCTCCCATACCTCTCCTTTCTCCCTTCCACTGTACTTTCTTCCCTCCCACTCCACCCTCCCTCCCTCTCCCCACCCCTCCTGTACCTCTTTCCCGGCAAGCCTCTCCCTCAGGGCCTGGTTCTCCCTGCGGAGGCGCTCGTTCTCCTGCTGCGCCTCCCTCAGCTGGCCCTCCAGGTTCTGCAGGTACTCCTTCTTCTTCTTGCGTGACTGGCACGCCGACTCGCGGTTCTTGATCATCCTCTGCTGCCTCTTCATCGCCTTCATCTGTGACACGGCCGGAGTGGAGAATGCATGAAATGTAATCATGGCAGAACTTGTCAACAGCAGCTGATGGCATGGTGTATGATCTGACAGTGAAGCCTGAGGTAATACAACAGTTGAAGAGAGTGAAAGAGACCAAATCCTACTCACTGACTGACTGACATGTGACTGACAGACACTCACATCGATGCCATTGTTCCCTGGCAGAGAGGACGCTGGGACTATGGGTTTGCTGGGGAATGGGGCCGTGGGGCAATGGCCGTGAGGCATGGTGGGAGAGACAGGCTCCATTTTGACGATGGCTGGAGCAGACCCCAGACAGACAGACTGGGAAAGCACCACTATGGGAGGAAAGGAACATCACTTAGCTATTACATAACCATGCCATTACATAATAAATTATCTTACCAGACAGACACACTAAAATCCAGAATACGGGTAATAAAAAAAATACTCTGAGATTAAATGTTTTATACTTTACCCCCTTTTTCTCCCCAATTTCGATCTTGTCTCATCGCTGCAACTCCCCAACGGGCTCGGGAGGTGAAGGTCGAGTCATGTGTCCTCCGAAACATGACCCACCGAATTGCGCTTCTTAACACCCGCCCGCTTAACCCGTAAGCCAGCCGCACCAATGTGTCGGAGGAAACACCGTTCACCTGACGACCGAGGTCAGCCTGCAGGCGCCCGGCCCGCCACAAGGAGTCGCTAGAGCGCGATGAGCCTAGTAAAGCACCGCCGGCCAAATCCTCCCCTAACCCGGACGACGCTGGGCCAATTGTGCGCCGCCCTATGGGACTCACGATCACGGCCATTTGTGATACAGCCCGGGATCGAACCCAGGTCTGTAGTGACGCCTCTAGCACTGTGATGCAGTGCCTTAGACCGCTGCGCCACTCGGGAGGCCCCTATAAATAGCTTTCTAATCAACAATCGTCGCAGGAATATACATTGATAGGTATTGTAGCGATTTGAGCAAGTGCACACACACACAGAGAAATTTAAAAAATGTAATTCAAGCCTCCCCTTTAATGAACCTCGTGCATTCACCAAATGGTAAGCCTGGAATGTCATGTGTGAAAAATGGTCAGTCTGGTCCCAGGACTTACCAGGCCTGCTCTGGTCCATGCTAGGCAGGCTGTGCAGTATGAGGGCCTTGGCTGGACTGGGAGCCTGGGGGACGGGGAGAGCTGCTACACACACAGGCCTGGGCTGGATGGGAGGCTTACTGCTCAGGATGGTACTGGCTTTGATCGTGGCCGCAGTGGGGTGGACTGGAGGGAGGGAGGGAGTGTGTGAGCGATAGAGAGAACATGATAGTGTGACAGAGAGCATGACAGTGTGGGAGTTAAAACCACTCCCATGCACTATAAATGTCTGCCAAGAACATTTGCATCAAAAGTACATGATATGAAGTCTGCTCTCTTGTGGCTGAATTCTTTCCTGTGCAGCATGTACACCTCCAGTATAGCTGACATCACTGTAGCAACACACACCTGTGGCCTGTGCGTCGATGCCATTGTTGGCTGCGGTTTGGTGTTGCTGTGGCTGTGGGGGCAGTTGGGACTGTGGTTGGGCATGTTGTGCGGAGGCCACTGTGACTTCACATGTGCCAAGTGGTGGTGACAGCACATCTCCAAACATATAAGGAGGTGTGGGCGGGTTCTCCCCTTTCACTGTGATCTGAGTGGTAGAAAGAGAGAGATGTGGAAGACATTAAAAAAAGGCTTCACACCTTTGTTGCACATTGGTTAGTTTTGACATACTCTAACTAGGCTCTAAAATTAGCACTTTGTGAACATTGTATCTCAGAGTCTCTAAACTGTGGTGCATCAATATTGCATAAGATGCTTTTAGTAGTGTGGTGTGGAAGCTGATCTCTGTCTGGACTGACCTGTGAGTCTTGGAGTGACGTCAGGGAGCAGTCTGAGGCCAGCGAGGAGGCAGGGGAGGGAGGCTCCGCCTTCACCCGGAACACTGGAACATCACACACAAATTATACAAAGGACACAGTGAATATTTCACATTCAAGCATAAACTAAGACACACACACACACGTAAGCAATAGCCAAAGAGGAACTTACACATGTCCACTGGCAAAGGCTGCGTTATCGTCATTTTTTCTTTCAATACGGGACTGTCCCCTTAAGAGTGAGAGAAAGGCAAAGAGAGAGGAGGGAGGGAGAAAGGTTATACAAGTACACCACAACTGATGCTGAGCTACAATGACATCCTTATTGATAAATTGGAGTGGTAGTGCATTAGGGAAGTATTGATGTTCACATAATTACATTTCCACTTATACTTTGAGGTCAAACAGCTCGAAAGCTTATTGTACATAAATCCTGCATTAGCCTTGTACATGTTTGATCTTTAAAATAACACGGAGAAATCATTAGGCCTATTTCATTCATGTCCTTATTTTACCTTATGGGCCTTCTATAGTCGTAATAACATGTCTACTACCACAACTAATACTTTCAAAAGGAAAACCTCTTCTCATGTTTCCTGCCATGTTTTATTAATCTCTGCACCTGTGAGAAGGTTGTCGTCCAGGTGTCTCCATGGTGACGTGGGATTGTCGGGATCAAGAGTCAGCACGAGATCGTTGTCAAACTGCGAAGAGAGCAAGGAAGTGGAGCGCAGCATTAGGCCATCGTCTGGATTAGTCAGTAGGTCGATAGGGGGCACGCAATCGGTTGCCCCTACAGGCAATCAGCCCCATTATCGGCCGGCCCGTCTCAGGCTCACTCAAGTTACCTCATTTCATCTTGGCATCACACACTGAACTCTCACCACTGCTAGCTAGTGTGTAACGCTGCCTGCTTTATTCTGATACTACTCTCATAGAGCAAGAATGAGCAGACTGCTGCACTATTGCACACTGTATTTTATTTCAACTTTATTTTACCAAGCAGGTCAATTAGGAACAAATTCTTATTTACAATGACGGCCTGGCAACTCTGAATTGACTGAGATGCTTGTATCAGATAGGCCTAGTCTTTATGGACCAAATCTTAATTTGAGATACACTCGTAACTGAGACTTCTGCACAAATCAAGTCAATGGAAGATTTGAACATTTTAATTACCTGTGTTGTTGGATCTCAAATTTGGACCATATTGTGAAAGCAGATATGGAAGTAACAGTGGTGGTTACCTCATATATTACTAACAAACAAGACATTTCCAATGGTTGATTGTAGGGATGTAGATTGAAATAGGCCTCATGTTGAGTAGACAGGGAATTTGGTCTAAGTCATTGAAAGAGCGATTAGCATTGGTCATAGCTTTGGATTAACTTCAATGTGGTGATCAAAACATGTGCAGTACAGTGGCCAGATAATAGTCAGGGTCTGTGAGCAGAAACTCTCTTTGTCCGTACCGATGTTTCATATTTCAGTCCTCTCGTGTACTCCCCGTCCTCTCCCTCCTCCATGCTCTCACACTGGTACAGACAGGCATCTGAGACAGACAGACAGACCAATTAGTTAGTACTGTAGGAACATAATTATTAATATGGACAGACTCAAGTCTATTTGCTTGAGTGTCAGTTGCTATGGCGTTTGTAAAGCCTTATCAATGTCCCACTGCGACCTCTTGTCCGCCATGGTTCCCCGTGCCTTATTTGGTTTGACAAGAGTTGAAATGCATGACTCTGACCTTTGAGCTAAAACAAGAAGAGGGATCTACTTGTAAATGATGATGGTGATCATAAACACAATACCCAAAATAAGCTCAAGGTTTGATGCTTTTCTACACCCATTTAACATTAAAAACGGGTTTAATTCACAGGAGTCCAGTTTGGGTTTTCTGGCGTTGCAAAGAGAGGGAAATCTAAGCAGTTGAGGGGAAGCTGGCTTAAAATAAATGAGATGGAGGTTTTCAGCCCTGAGGTGACCCAGCTTCAATAGCAGAGGGATCCGATAACAACCTTCTCTGTGCTGAGAATTGTTCCCCATTACTGTTGAATTTCAATTAGCCAAGGGATAGCAAAAGTCGTAGCTACTCCTGATAATAGCAGACCCCGTTAACTAGAGGCCCAACTTATGGGCTGAAATGAAAAATATAGTTCTAGCCTACATTATCGTGGGGTGTTTTTTTCTTGAAAGAACGCTGAAAGAATACTGAGTAGGCTATCCTTTACAACTATAAAACCTTTTCCACAGTTGGTTTGATTCATACTACAGGCCTGTTTAAATTATGTCTATCATAAAGAGTAAATGTTAGAGTTAATCAGGTTCAGTGATCACAGGAAATTAAAGCCCTCACAGTTTACAGATTGCATGAGATAACCAAAGACTTAAGTCTGCAAACTTGAGCATACAAAAGCAATATTCAGGGAGTCAGTAAAAGGGGAAGTTATCTCAAATACAGTGCCCTACAATGAAAGCAAGAAAGATGCAAATTCTATTGATTTAAGAAAGGGACAGATGCCCAGATATTCCAGACCACCAGATGTCCCATAGCTAACTATGTTTTCAGTCTTTAGGTAGGCTAAGGCCTATGGTTGTTTCATATATTGCATACGTTTGTAATTCAGGTATTTGGGACCGAAGGTATTTCCAGCTAGCCTTTATGTTATGGAAAACGAAAGCTTGCACAGCACAAGCTTTTCTCACATCAATACCAAATATTTTTGATAACTAGCTAACATATCCGGTTTGTTGCCCAGTGTACATATATAGCTAGTCATTGACACACACCCACGAAAGAAACCAAACCACCCCAAACTGCGTATCATTCTACAACTAACTTTCACATTTGGATTTTTTTGCCTGGGTTTAGGAAAGGGAATAGGCATAGTCAATTTCACGGGTTCGTGATCAGCTAAAAGTCGCGTTAGTTAGCTACAGTAGCGGATCATTTTAACTAGTTAGCTACGTAGCTAGCTAACGCATCCATGCTGCCCAGGTGGTAAACATACATTACAGTAGCATTTATGTAGTTCTCTCTCTCACTTACCCCAATCTTCGCTTGTCAGAAGGTTATCAGCGAAGAAACGACTATCCAAATCAGATAGTAAATCCGTAGTCATAGCCACAAAAGCGTTTGTTAGAGGGGGTGTAATCACCTGATAAATTATATCAAACAAAAACGACTTTACAGCTAATTATGCTCAATTTGTGATTGGGTCCATCAATGTACAAAAGAAAACGATAATTTCTTACGCGAAACATTAGATTTTGTATTTATTTTGTTTCATAATATGCATTCGGTCCACAGCACCATCTCGCATATGATGACATCCAGACAAGGAAACGACATTTCCGGCAAAAGCCCGCCCCATTTTCAATGCAGGATCCAATCAAAGCAACGATTTGTTAGATTGATTTTTCAATCGACCTGTCCAATAATAGTTTTACTATTTACACTGCGTAAACCGTTGTGGGTGGTCAGAAAGCAGACGTTTTAAAGGTGATTCGGCCCACTCGCGCATCAGAATTTTGAGAGACGTTAAAAATATCCAATACTAGACATGTAATTAGACATTCCTGTCAAAGGACAGGTTATGAAAACCAATCAACTGTCCAACAATAAGGAATATTTTCTTTGCTCAAATGATGTATGGAAAGGAATGAAAATATAGATACAACATGAGAAAAACGATAGCCTCTTTGAAATACATTGAATTGCTTAATCACTTTAAGCATCAAATCAAAATCTAATTGTATTCGTCACATGCTAGGTGTAGACTAACAGTGAAATGCTTACTTACGGGCCCATCCCAACAATGCAGAGCTTGAGAAAATAGAAAAATAATAATACGTAATAATAGATACACAATAAGTAATGATGACTTGGCTATATACAGGGGTACCAGTACCAAGTCGATGTGCAAGGGTACGAAGTAATTGAGCTAGATATGTAAATGTCGACAATGAATGTAGAACTATGAATAAAGTGACACTTGCAGCAACGTATGTGATGATTTTAAAAAGGTTGTACATAAAGGGTCAATTCAGATAGCTGATTCAAATAATCAAATCTTGACGATGAGTTGGTTATTTCAATCAGCTGTGTAGTGCTAGGACAAAAACCAAAACGTGCACCCGGGGGGGTTGTTGTTCTTTGGCGCCCTCCACTGTATTAAGTAGGCTAAGTAGGTTACTGTATGTCCAACATCTCTGAACCGTCTGGTATGTCTCGAGACTCGAGAGCATGTCAAATGCACAAAACTAGTACAAAGCATTTATTTCGCTACTACTGTCATCATTCTAATAGCATTGTTTGGAAAGTGACTCTGCCGGGGTCCCACCTGGTTCAAATCTGTACTCACGAGGATGTAATTAAACACTGTCTCAACTTCCAGATATGTGTGAATGGACTCTTATTCACCAATCAATCCAAAAAATAAGGCATTTTTAAATTAGTATGAAATAAATATGTATTGTACATGCAATATGACACACAGTATAACAGGTATATGTGATAAGACGTGTCAATGTCCTCTCATTGAACCATAATGAAACATTTGGGATTTCCACTATCAAATGTTATCCTCATGTTGAGTCAATGGTATAATGCTATTAAAGGAGTATAATGCTGCCCATCAGTCACCATTATGTCACTGTCTCAGTCATGACCACACAGACACACATGGTCTTGGTCTGGTTTAAACAGGGAACAGAGGAAGAGTGAAGGAGGGGTTACTATCACATATACCGATGAACTCTGCAGTGTCAAGAGTTTTGGTGAAAGATGTGGAGCTATTTCAAGCCTTTGTTGTGTTTTCTGATGATTCCCCTCACCTCCAGTGCAACAGCTACAGGTACAGTGAACATTTTGTTCTTTGCATTGATTGAGTACTACACGCACACCACCCATACTTTCTTTCTATTCAAGACAAAATGAACAAAACATAAAAAGAGGGAGTATACACTGGGAAAACCATAGTGTATTAGAAGAATTATGAGCAATTTCTATTTAACTTTATTTCCTAAATTGATTTGAGATGCTACTTCATGAAGATGTACAGTGTCTTCAGAAAGTATTCATACCCCTTGACTTATTCCACATTTTGCTGTGCTACAGCCTGAATAAAAAATTGATTAAATTGTTTTTTCTCTCTCACCCATCTACACACAATACCCCATAATGACAAAGTGAAAACATATTTTTTTTTGTTGCAATGTATAAATATTGACACCCCTGAGTCAATACTTTGGCAGCGATCACAGCTGATAGTCTTTCTGGGTAAGTGTCTAAGAACTTTCCACACCTGGATTGTGCAACATTTGACCATTATTATTAAAAAAATTCTTCAAGCTCTGTCAAATTGGTTGTTGATCATTACAAGTCAACCATTTTCAGGTCTTGCCATACCTATTCAAGTAGATTTAAGTCCCAATTCGGCCACTTTACTGTCTTTTTTGTAAGCAACTCCAGTGTCGATTTAGCTTTGTGTTTTAGGTTATTGTCCTGCTGAAAGGTGAATTAATCTCCCAGTGTCTGGTGGAAAGCAGACTGAACCAGGTTTTCCTGTAGGATTTTGCCTGTGCTTATCTCCATTCCATTTCTTTTTTATCCTGAAAAACTCCCCAGTCCTTAACGATTACAAGCATACCCATAACATGATGTAGCCACCACTCAGTAATGTGTTGTATTGGATTCAGTGGATGCTGCTGAGGGGAGGACGGCTCATAATAATGTATAGAATGGAGCAAATGGAATGGCATCAAACACATTGAAACCATGCGTTAGATGTATTTGATATCATTCCACTGATTCCGCACCAGCCATTACCACAAGCCCGTCCTTCCCAATTAAGGTGCCACCTTAATTGTGATTGGATTTGCCCCAAACATAACACTTTCTATTCATTTTTTGCAGTATTACTTTAGTGCATTGTTGCCAAACAGGATGCATGTTTTGGGATATTTTTATTCTGTACAGCCTTCCTTCTTTTCACTCTGTCAATTAGGTTAGTATTGTGGAGTAACTACAATGTTGTTAATCCATCCTCAGTTTTCTCCTATCACTGCCATTAAACTCTGTAACTGTTTTAAAGTCACCATTGGCTAATGGTGAAATCCCTAAGCGGTTTCCTTCCTCTTCGGCAACTGAGATAGGAAGGGCACCTGTATCTTTGTAGTGGCTGGGTGTATTGATACACCATCCAAAGTGTAATTAATTATGCTCAAAGAGATATTCAATGTCTGCTTAAAAAAAAAGGTTAACTACCAATAGGTCAAATCAAATCAAATGTTATGTGTCGAATACAACAGGTGTTGACCTTACCTTGAAGTCCTTAACCAACAATGCAGTTCAAGAAATAGTTAAGAAAATATTTACTAAATAAACTAAAGTAAAATTTTTTATAAAAAGTTACACAATAAAATAACAATAACGAGGCTATATCCAGGGGGTAACGGTACCGAGTCAATGTGCGGGGGTACAGGTTAGTCGAGGTAATTTGTACATGTACAGTTGAAGTCGGAAGTTTACATACACTTAGGTTGGAGTCATTAAAACTCGTTTTTCAACCACTACACACATTTCTTGTTAACAAACAATAGTACACAAGTATAAACACCATGGGACGATGCAGCAGTCATACCGCTCAGGAAGGAGACGCGTTCTGTCTCCTAGAGATGAATGTAATTTGGTGCGAAAAGTGCAAATCAATCCCAGAACAACAGCAAAGGACCTTGTGAAGATGCTGGAGGAAACAGGTACAAAAGTATCAATATCCACATAAAACGAGTCCTATATCGACATAACCTGAAAGGCCGCTCAGCAAGGAAGAAGCCACTGCTCCAAAACCGCCATAAAAAAGCCAGACTACGGTTTGCAACTGCACATGGGGACAACGATTGTACTTTTTGGAGAAATTTCCGCTGGTCTGATGAAACAAAAATAGAACTGTTTGGCCATAATGACCATCGTTATGTTTGGAGGAAAAAGGGGGACGCTTGCAAGCCGAAGAACACCATCCCAACCGTGAAGCACGGGGGTAGCAGCATCATGCTGTGGGGGTGCTTTGCTGCAGGAGGGACTGGTGCACTTCACAAAATAGATGGCATCATGAGGAAGGAAAATGATGTGGATATATTGAAGCAACATCAGTCAGGAAGTTAAAGCTTGGTCGCAAATGGGACAATGACCCCAAGCATACTTCCAAAGTTGTGGCAAAATGGCTTAAGGACAACAAAGTCAAGGTATTGGAGTGGCCATCACAAAGCCCTGACCTCAATCCTATAGACATTTTGTGGGCAGGACTGAAAAACCGTGTGCGAGCAAGGAGGCCTACAAACCTGACTCAGTTATGCCAGCTCTGTCAGGAGGAATGGGCCAAAATTCACCCAACTTATTGTGGGAAGCTTGTGGAAGGCTACCCGACACGTTTGAACCAAGTTAAACAATTTAAAGGCAATGCTACCAAATACTAATTGAGTGTATGTAAACGTATGACCCACTGGGAATTTGATGAAAGAAATAAAATTGAATTTTCACCTAAAATCTAACTGCCTGTAGCTCAGGACCTGAAGCTATGATATGCATATTCTTGATGCCATTTGAAAGGAAACACTTTGAAGTTTGTGGAAATGTGAAATTAATGTAGGAGAATATAACATATTAGATCTGGTAAAAGATAATACAAACAAAAAAACATATGTTTTCTATTATTATTTTTGGTTCCATCATCTTTGAAATGCAAGAGAAAGCCCACAATAGAATATTGCAGTTTTAGGCGCAATTTAAATTTGTGTGTGCAAAGTTTCAGATTGATCCAGTGAAGCATTTCAATACTGGACTGTTTTGTATCAAGTCTGCCCAAATGTGCCGAATTGGTCAATTGATACATTTTCAAGTACATAACTATAGAGAACATACAAAAATGATATGGTAATACAAAATGTAAGTTTACACACTCCCAGGAATGTCATACATTATGGATCATTAGCTTATACACTAACTCTCACACATCTAGATGGCCGGGCGGGGTGGGTTTGGAGCCAGAGACAGCAAGGGTTCAAACTGTAGAATCCAGTTCCTACATTTGAATATAAAAATGGATTCTATCAAACAAAACTATGCTACATTTTATCTCTGGGACCCTTAGGATGACAAATCAGAGCAAGATTACTGAATGTAAGTACATTATTTACCTTCAGAGGTGAATGTATCAAACCAGTTGCCGTGATAAGTTTTTTGTTGTTGTGCACTCTCCTCAAACAATAGCATGGTATTTTTTTTTACTGTAATAGCTACTGTAAATTGGACAGTGCAGTTAGATTAACAAGAATTTAAGCTTTCTGCCCATATAAGACATGTCTATGTCCTGGAAAGTTTGCTGTTGCTTACAACAGTAATGCTAATCCATTGGCGCACGTTAGCTCAACCGTCCCGTATACGGGACACCGATCCCGTAGAAGTTAAATACTATTATTGCACACAGAGTGAGTCCATGCAACTTATTATGGGACTTGTTAAGCAAATGTTTACTCCTGAACTTATTTAGGCTTGCCATAACAAAGGGGTTGAATACTTATTGACTCAAGATTTTTCAGCTTTTAATTTTTAATTTGTTTGTAACATTTTCAAAAAACATAACTCCAATTTGACATTATGGGGTATTGTGTGTAGGCCAGGGACAGCAATCTCAGTTTAAACCATTTTAAATTCAGGCTGTAACACAACACAATTTGGAAAAAGTCAAAAGGTGTGAAAACTTTCTGAAGGCACTTTATATTACAATATGTGAACAATCATAGTTGCCAAAATAACAGAGGCCAAAATAACTATATCTTCATTGTGACAGTAACATTTTCCAAACAATACCACCATTAATACCTGTATTTGTTTTAATGGTTTTGTCTCGAAAACCCCCACACACATGTTAGCTTCCTTAAAGTGGGCTAATTTTATTCCCACTCTAAAGATATGACATGTTCCCATTAGATAAAGAGGAATAGTGGATCGCACAGGAAGCAGGACCAAAATGGACTCAGGAAGATATGAGTGACACACAGCCTTGCATGCAGTGATAGACAAAAAGTTATATTCTTCTACATACAGCCACTGTGGAAGTAGACTGCACTCAGATGATTGCAGAGGCTTGGGACAAGTCAGGCTCTCAGAAAACACCCCTGATCCAACACACTACCCCACATTTAGTCTTAGATGAAATTAGCTGTGACACAAAGCAGACATGCTCAGAGGTGTTGCCAAACTTGCCAAAATGATTTCTATATTTCCCAACATATCAGTTAGTCCAGTTTATTCTAATTAGACTAAACTCACTTCACGCTTGTTATGTCTGCCCTCAGTGAGAAGAGTCTCAGTGCCTGAGGATCATCGTCTGTACCTGGCCTGCAGTGGCACTGTTGACTTACAGTGGCGACACCACGTCAACGGGATCATAGTCACTAAACAAGGCCAGTCGGTTGCTTACCGGAACCACCAGAAATATCACCTCCAGCCTGATGGATCTCTGGTTATAGAAGAGCTGGAGCCATCTGACTCAGGGGACTACTATTGCAACGACCAGCTAGTAGCAGACGTGGAGGTACTGAAAGGTATGAGGACAGCTTACAATGTGAAATGTAGCGCATGTCTGACCACCACTCTAGAATTTTTATAAAATATATTGGTTGCTGTCCTTGATGATGAGAGCTGAAAATGGACCGCTGACTGGCGATAAATAATGGTTGAACCAATTATCAATTTCAAGCAGGAAAAGTGGACAACCATCAGTGAAATTGCTCTGTCATTGGAGTGATAGTAAACTATTTTAAAGAAAATTAGCTGAAACATACTTATTATTATTGTTGTGACAAACTTTTCATTATTGTTATTTATTTTTGCGAGGTGTTCAGATCACAGACAGGCATTCATATTCAAAAAGTACATGTATAAAGAAATTAAAAGCAGTAGAAAACATAAATAAAATAAGCATTATTTGTCCTGTCGGTCCCATCTCCACTCTCCCTCCCCGCGTCTTAGTAGGTGCGACCCATTCCTATTCCCCCTCCCTCCCCCCACGGGCTCATGTTGTGGACATTCTGTTTCTATCCACAAAACAAAACATAATGGGTAACTTATCTTATGTTTGTAAAACTGTTTGTGGGACCAAGACACACATGAATAGAATCAGCCTGCATACATCGATATTCTACACAGATATTCCAAATACAGTTGATAAATTCAAACATGATTGCATTACATTAACTCATAATAAGCTTTTGAACTTATCAACTGCTCTATTGAATGTACGGTATCAAATGTTGTTTCCTTGGCGCTGTTCATACGAGATATGGAGCGCTCTAGTGAAATAAAGTCAAGGAAGTTTTGTAGTCATTGAGTTATGCTGAGCTTATGTGGAGGCTTCCATCTGGTCACTAACATTATTTTTGCCGCAGTCAGTTCAGACAAACATACTCGTTTCTGGAGTACTGTGACTCGAGTCAGTGAAGAGTCATCCTTCAACAATAATATTTTTGGGAGATAGGGAATGGCAGCACCAACTATGCTCGACACACACCTGGCAACCTGTGACCAAAACGTCTTCACACTGGGGTAGTCCCACATCATGTGCATGTAGGTTCCAATATTTATTTGAGAACACAACAGACAAGTTGTAATAGGAGCCAGTTTAAATTGGCAGCGTTTCTGCGGAGTCAAATAAAATGGAAGGAATTTTTGTAGTGTATCAGTTGATGATTCAAATTTCGGGAGGTCATTGGGATATTGTTCTACTCTCTTTTTTAAAATCGTTTTTTATATATATATATATATATATTTTTTTTAAATAACAATTTTTTTATGGGGGGGGGGGGGGGATTTTACCCCCCTTTTTCGTGGTATCCAATTGGTAGTTACAGTCTTCTCCCATCGCTGCAACTCCCGTACGGACACGGGAGAGGCGAAGGTCGAGAGTCGTGTGTCCTCCGAAACACAAACCAACCGAGCAGCACTGCTTCTTGACACCGTGCCCGCTTAACCCGGAAGCCAGCCGCACCAACGTGCCGGAGGAAACACCGTACACCTGGCGACCAAGTCAGCGTGCACTGCGCCCGGCCCGCCACAGGAGTCGCTAGTGCACAATGGAACAAGAACATCCCTGCCGGCCAAACCCTCCCCTACCCTGGACGGCGCTGGGCCAATTGTGCGCCGCCCCATGGGTCTCCCGGTCGCGGCCGGCTGCGACAGAGCCTGGACTCGAACCAGGATCTCTAGTGGCACTGCGCCACTCGGGAGGCCCATTCTAGACTCTTTTCCAATCTGTATTTTGTTTGTAGTCTTTAAGATCTGTATTCCATACCGTAACTCTTCCCATTGGTTTATGGAGGGCTTCTAGTAGTTTTTTATATAGATTGAATACAAAACCTCCACTTGTGTACTGGCTACATAAAAACTCAGTGAGTGGATGGAATGGCTCCATAAGTGTGCATAGCGGTTCTTAACTGCAAAAAACATGTATAAAAAAACAATGACGAACCAGTTAAATTATACATATTCTTTAGGTCATAAAAGGATAATAAACCTTAATCATTCATTATGTCCGAAAGTTTATGAATTCCTTGTTCAGACCATTGTTTAAAAATAATACGTTTCCCTCTCAAAGGGAGTTATGTGTTATGGCTTTTCAACCTCTGCCATATCGTGGATTCAGAGCAATCTACTAATAGAACTCAAAGGGTTTTCTTTAATGGAAGCTTCTCTAATGTCAAACATGTAAAGTGTGGTGTACCGCAGGGCAGCTCTCAAGGCCATCTACTATTTTCTAGTTTTACCAATGACCTGCCACTGGCATTAAACAAAGCATGTGTGTATACTGACGATTCAATCATATATGCATCAGCAACCACAGCTAATGAAGTCACTGAAACCCTTAACAAAGAGTTGCAGTCTGTTTTGGAATGGGTGGCCATTAATAAACTGGTCCTGAACATCTCTAAAACTAAGAGCATTGTATTTGGTAGAAATCATTCCCTAAATTCTGGACCTCAGCTGAATCTGGTAATGAATGGTGTGGCTGTTGAGAAGTTATGGAGACTAAATTACTTGGCGTTACCTTAGATTGTAAACTGTCATGGTCAAAACATATAGATTCAATGGTTGTAAAGATGGGGAGAGGTCTGTCTGTAATAAAGAGACACTCTGCTTTTTTGACCCTCACACTCCAAAAAGCAAGTCCTGCAGGCTCTAGTTTTGTCTTATCTTGATTATTGTCTGGTCGGGAGATTGTGGAGGCCAGGTCATCTGATGCAGCACTCCATCACTCCTTCTTGGTAAAATAGCCCTTACACAGCCTGGAGGTGTTTTGGGTCATTGTCCTGCAGACACATGCAGAGATAATCCGTTCAACCACAACACGTCTCACAAAGACACGGCAGTTGGAAACAAAAATCTCAAATTTGGACTCCAGACCAAAGGACACATTTCCAACGGTCTAATGTCCATTGCTCGTGTTTCTTGGCCCAAGCAAGTCTCTTCTTCTTATTGGTGTCCTTAGGATTGGTTTCTTTGCAGCAATTCAACCATGAAGGCCTGATTCACACAGTCTCCTCTGAACAGTTGAATTCTGTGAAGCATTTATTTGGGCTGCAATTTCTGAAGCTGGTAACTCTAATGAACGTATCCTCTGCAGCAGAGGTAACTCTGGGTCTTCCATTACTGTGGTGGTCCTCATGAGAGCCAGTTTTATCACAGCGCTTGATGGTTTTTGCGACTGCACTTGAAGAAACGTACAAAGTTCTTGACATTTTCCGTATTGACTGACCTTCATGTCTTAAAGTAATGATGGACTGTCGTTTCTCTTTGTTTATTTGAGCTGCTCTTGCCATAATATGGACTCTGTCTTTTACCAAATAGGGCTATCTTCTGTAAACCCCCCCCTACCTTGTCACAACACAACTGATTGGCTCAAAAGCATTAAGAAGGAAAGAAATTCCACAAATTAACTTTTAAGAATGCACACCTGTTAATTGAAATGCATTCCAGGTGACTACCTCATGAAGCTGGTTGAGAGAATGCCAAGAGTGTGCAAAGCTGTCATCAAGGCAAAGGGTGGCTATTTGAAGAATCTCACACATAAAATATATTTAGATTTGTTTAACACTTTTTTGCTTACTACAATATTCCATATGTGTTATTTCATAGTTTTGATGTCTTCACTATTATTCTACAATTTAAAAAATAGTTTTAAAAAATAAAGAAAAACCCTTGAATGAGCAGGTGTGTCCAAACTTTTGACTGGTAGTGTATAGATATATATTTTAATTGATGTAGTTCTGTCCTTGAGCTGTCCTTGTCTATTAATGTTCTGTATTATGTCATGTTTCATGTGTTGTGTGGACCCCAGGAAGAGTAGCTGCTGCTTTTACAACAGCTAATGGGGATCCTAATAAAATACAAAGAAAAATACCAAAGGTAGTGCATTATTTCTAAGTATTGGTGTTTGGGTATGCCATTGCACTTCCCAATTACCCATTTTTTTCGATTTGTTGCCAGGTCTGTTTTGAGCAGGCGATGATTGGTCCAAACTGAGTATGTCAAAATTTAGGAGCAAAGGCAGAGAATAGTACATATTTCAATGTAAATGTTGACACTATATTTTCCCCTATTTCCAACCAAGGAAGACATTTATCTTGATCAAACAATTTCTTAAGTGGGCAGAGCACTAGAGACAAAGCATATAACTTGAAGTTTGGTAAACCTAGATCCCCAAAAACGTTGGGTTTCTGGAGGCTAGTCATTTTAATTCTGGGACATTTCTGTTTCAATATCAAATTTAAGACTGCATTTTTTTTCTTATCTCAGTACCCTAATGGCGTGGGCAAAGGAAGCGTACTAACAAATAAATTCAGTCTAGGCAAGACATTCATTTTGACTATCGAAATTCGACCTGATAATGTTAGATTAAACCATCTGTCGAGATCTGCTGTAATTGCAGTTGTGACTTTGTAGAAAAATGTCAATGCCCAGGTTGAACATTGCTTTGTTAAGTGGGAGCAGAAACATAGCCTACTTTGTTAATCTAATGAGCATATTACTATCAGTGTCAAATACTCTTGTTACCAATATTTAGTACAATAAATATATCTTCCCACAGGCCAAAGGTTTGCTGTTTCTGCTGGCCGAGCCCTATTGCTGCCCTGTACAGTATCTAGCAAAGCCAAGCAGAGGTGGTTCTTCAGGAAAGATAGTCATGCGAAACGAGAACCCATCTCGACTCTGTTCAGAAATGGGACCGTAAAAATGGAGAGAAAGGACACCCACAAAAGGTTTTCCTATGATGAAGATAGTGCCCTGCAGATCCTCAATCTGCAGCCAGGGGACTCTGGAGAGTACCTGTGTAATGGGGAAACGGCAGCCAAAGTAATGGTGTTAACAGGTAGAGCTTTCCAAATTGCATTTTACTCCTGTTTTTCCCTTATATCTACACTGTATCTATTTAATTGTCTGTGTATTTTCATTTCACAGTATCATACTTAAAATGTCATGCTTATGCATAACCTTTTTTTGCAAACCCAGATCACCTCAACATCCAGAGTACCACTGCTGTTATGCAAACAGGTAACACAAAGCAACACCTTGCAGTTCTTAAAAGTATAAATATTACACCAAAATCCAGGGTTTTAACTGTGAGCTGTAAAAGTATATTATATGACCAATATACTATATAATTTTCAGATGTTGTTTGGAGAGAGAACAGAGAGACACGCCCTACAAATGGTAGGTTGTCCACGAAAGTTCAGACACAAATTGGGGTAAAAACCTTGTTTTTGCTCTTTGTGGTGAAATTGAAATGGCAGTGTGTGTTGTTCAATATCGAGGGTCTTGAAATTTAAAGAAGATGGACTAAAGTCGCGATGCAAAATAAAGAACATACGTGCCACCCCATAGAGATCCTATTATATTACTATGTGTTGTATGTGCCATCCACCCAACATTGTGTTTACTGTTAGCGACCCTCCATGCTGTGTGCTCGCTTCAGAGAGCATGAACTGGGCTTTCGTCCTGTTATCAGGTGACATTTTCACATATCAAATTGTGCTTCATGCTTTTGTCTATTAGTTGTGATGATGATAGCTGTCATTGGACTATGCATCGTGGTGCTTCTGGCTGGTCTGCTGGGCTTTTTGCTGATAGGAAGACTGAGCAAAAGAAGAAAGAAATGCAGTACAGGTAAAAAAAATCTAAACAATTATATTATATGCCTCTGATCTTGTTTGTAATAAATGAAATTGGCCTATACAGCCATGCAACAACCTTTTTTTACAAACGTGACAAAATTACTCTATTCCCTATACTGACAGAACACAAGCAGGAAGGAACTGAACTCCAGACTAGGTGCTTGTCAAATCTAGGTAAAGAACACTGTCCAATTGTTTGCTGACAGGAAAGTCTTTATAGTAGGGTTTGTGTAAAATGTGTGCATTCTCCCAAGTATTGCTCTCATTGAAAACAATGTATTTTTTCATATTTTGTCTTATAGAGTCTGAGATCACACATAGTGATGGGGAAGAAGTGAGTACAAATGAATATCACTCATTGAAAACATTGCTAAAATTTAAATGTAAATATTTGTATGTTTCCGTGTGTGTCTCAGAGCCCTTCTCATGTGGAAGACACTGAGGTTCAGTATGCATCTCTGGGTCGGCAGAACTGGAGGGAAAGATCGAGGGTACTGGGAGACCAGCACCACGTCATCTATTCCGCTGTGGTCACTGCTCGACCAGCATCCCAGGGTTTGGAGAGAATAAAACATTGATTTGACTGATGACCTTTACCAGACAGTTCGTATTTTACCTCTTTGTATTACAGTATGAGTACATTTTACACAGGTTGCTCTTTAATCCTATAATAAATGTATTTTCATCTTTCAAGATACGTAAGATACTATTATTTTAGCCAACTAATTCTATATCCTGTTGGCTTAAAACAATTATATTGAGATTCTTTGGAGAAAACCAACAATAATTATTACATTACCTTTTCAACATTTACAGAAACACTCATATATGCACAAATCAAAATACAATCATATTTCCATCAAGAACGGATATTCAAAGAACAATGTCAGCAGTGCATGTGATGCATCATGCGCCTGGATGAACACATTGGGCCACTGTTGCATATGTAACATCTCCCTGGGCCAATCCTGGCACTCCCTGAGCAATGGGGGCGGGCCTTACCAGTGTGCTTCAGACTGGCATAGCGCTGACTCACTTCCTATGAAAAAATATCAGGGTTAGAGATTAAATATTGACTTCATGCCATCCAAACCTCTCAGGCATAGATTTACAGTTAGATAAGGTTTAGTCCTAACCATTGTGACTTCAATCATTTACAGAAGTACTTTTACCTTGAGACTTCAATTCTTGTTCACACAGGTGCTGCACAAATGTTGTTTTACCTGAAAGGCAACAATTCACAGAGGCAATCTGCAGTTCAAACAATAACAAATGGGTTAACCTGCCATTGTTTTGGTAAATAGCTGACCAATGGGGCTGAAGAAATATAACCACTCTCAAATTCATAGACAGCGCTATGGATGCGAGGACTGACCATCCATAAAATCAAAATGATAGTTTTAATCATGTTTTGAGAATATAGAATCAAGCTTATGATTGGGGTTATAATTGGGGTTTTGATCGGGTAAGACGGTTCAACTAAGCTCATTCAGTATTTATAAGTTATATTGTTCAAGAATCAATGGGTATATATAATTACTTAAAGTGAAAAAAAATGTAACAACTGCAGATTGAAAAAATACAAACTTTTATTTTGTAATGTCACTTTAAGTAAACTTGTCAAACTTGAGATATATTCAAAGTCTTAACTATTTAAGCGTTTGCATTCCCTTCTGTCTTTGCTGCTACCATTCAACCATAACAAGAAAGGGGATGATCAAGATTTGTACACTATCATTCTACACTGAGTGCACAAAACATTAGGAACACCTGCTCTTTCCATGCCATAGACTGACCTGGTGAATCCAGGTGAAAGCTATGCTCCCTTATTGCGGTTACCTGTTAAATCCACTTCAATCAGTGTATATGAAAGGGAAGAGACAGGTTAAAGAAGGATTTCTAAGACTTGAGACATGGATTGTGTATGTGTGCCATTCAGAGGGTGAATGGGCAAAATAAAATATTTAACTGCCTTTGAACGGGTTATGGTAGTAAGTGCCAGGCGCACTGGTTTGTGTCAAGAACTGCTACTCTGCTGGGTTTTTCACACTCAACAGTTTCCCGTGTGTATCAAGAATGGTCCACCACCCAAAGGACATCCAGCCAACTTGACACAACTGTGGGAAGCATTGGAGTCAACATGGGCCAGCATCCCCGTGGAATGCTACCGACACCTCGTAGATTCCATGTCCCGACGAATTGAGGCTGTTCTGAGGGCAAAAGGAGGTGCAAGTCAATATTAGGAAGGTGTTCCTAATGTTTTGTACAGTCAGTGTACGTTTACCATACACTAACTTGTTTTTCCAGTCACTGAAAGAGAAAGTGAAAGTAAAGATGACATTCCACAGCACAGTCTATGCATAGGTGAAAGTACAAGAGCAGACGCCTTCGTGTCTAATCACAAAGAGGAATGATTTTTCTGCTCTCTGTGAAGTCTTCTTTCCGTAATTGTTTTCGAGTTTTCTAACTCTCACCATGCCAAACGTAAATCTCATCTTGGAGGCTCTGTCTGCCGTCTCAGGTTGCAACGTGGAATCAGCCACTGCGGGAACACTTTCACTAACCCCACAGGACTTTGTCAATGTAGTTGCACTAAAGGAGTTCTACGTACAAGAGGGCCTTCTAGAGTTGGAGTACCCAAGTTTGGGGACATTGTCTTTAAATGTTGCCTTAGCTTTACAAGATGCCCCATCCGCCGCATCCATTCCACAAACCACTGTTTCTGTGAATGTGAATGAGTTTCTTGATTCTCGGTATGACTACGACTTTACAAATGTTAAGGATGGGGAAGCAGTGTTTACTCGGGGAAAGGAGCAGTACGTCCGACCCTGTGGCTGGAACCGCATTGCCCTGAAGGTTTTGAACAAATACAGGGATGGAGATGGATGGTTGGGGACCGGAGACGAGGCTTGGCCAGTGTCCTACCACGGACCTGCTATGGACGGATCTCAGGGCATCATCAGGAATGATGGAGATGGAGATGGAGCTGGTGCTACTGTCGGAAGAGGAGTCTACTCAACACCGGACATTAACATAGCTGAGAAGTTCTCCAAGAGATTCACGTCCAAAGTAGATAACAAAACCTACAAGGTGGTGCTACAGAATAGGATCAACCCTCAGAAAAGGCAACAGTGTCGGAGAGAGAGTTACTGGCTGGTCTATGTGCCTGAGGGATCATCTCCTGTTCAAGAGAGAGCTATTGTGGAAAACTCCATCCGTCCTTATGGTTTGCTGCTTAAGGAAGTGTTGTAATCCAGGCAGACAATGTTTGAAAGATAAGTAAATAGGTTGCCGTAATCATACACAGTATGATCAGAAAATTAAGAGATGTAACATCAGATGAATACAATTCTATATCAACTAAGTAACAAGGTTAATTTGTTATAGTCATAGGATTAGCATAAGATTGTTAGATTTTTTCCCCCAGTGTAAATGTAGTCTTTACCTGATAGGCTACTATTAAGGATGTGTTCAAGGGTTTTAAAATGACTTAAAGTAAGAGTGCATTGTTTATTTACATGATACTTTAATTTCCAGTGAACCCGCATTATCTAACCACATAGTCAAAGCATCAATACAGCACCAATATACTACACTGCTGCCTAGTGGTATTTTATGGTATTCCTTTTCCAATTGTTGACTTAAATGAACAATTTGCCTGATAGTTTGCTAGTGTCTTTATCAGTAATCTATGTGAACATATGCTTAGTACTTTGAAAATGCATTAATTAATGGTTTATTCACATTAAAATATTGTTATATAACACTGAACAAAAATATAAATGCAACATGTAAAGCTTTGGTCGCATTTTTTATGAGATTAAATAAAAGATCCCAGAAATGTTCCATATGCCAAAACAAAGTGTGTTTCTCTCAAATTTTGTGCGCAAATTGTACATTCCTGTTAGTGAGAATTTCTCCTTTGCCAAGGTAATCCATCGATCTGACAGGTGTGGCATATCAAGAAGCTGATTAAACAGCATGATCATTGCACAGGTGCACCTTGTGCTGGGGACAATAAAAGGCCACTCTAAAATGTGCAGTTTTGTCACACAACACAATGCCACATATGTCTCAAGTTTTGAGGGAGCGTGCAATTGGCATGCTGACTGCAGGAATGTCCACCAGAGCTGTTGCCAGAGAATGTAATGTTAATTTCTCTACCATAAGCCACCTCCAATGTCGTTTTAGAGAATTTGGCAGTACATCCAACCCTACTCACAACCGCAGACCAAGTGTAACCACGCCCGCCCAGGACCTCCACACCTGGCTTCTTCACCTGCGGGGTAGTCTTATGAGGGAGGATGCTGAGGAGTATTTCTGTCTTTAATAAAGCTCTTTTGTGGGGAAAATCTAATTCTGATTGGCTGGGCCTGGCTACCCAGTGGGTTGACCTGGCTCCCAAGTGTGTGGGCCTACCCACAGCTACGCCCCTGCCCAGTCATGTGAAATCCATAGATTAGGGCCTAATTTATTTATTTAAATTGACTGATTTCCTTCTATGAACTGTAACTCAGTAAAATCTTTGAAATTGCATTTATATTTCTGTCCAATATATATATATATATATACATACATATACACACACACACACACACACACACAATGCTTTGGTTTGATGCATTGATTACAAATAAGTGCAAACTTTCTTCTATAAATATAGCCTTTGTAAATCTAGGGCGGCAAGCCAAGGATTTGCAGCAAGCTCACCTGACCGGAAACAGAGTCCAAAGACACAGAGGGTGCCAAACAAGGCCGAGACTGGGGACAACACAGGCATTAGAAGTGTCCAACATGACACCACCTCCCTCTCTGCCACTTCTGTGTCTGGAACATAAACCACACCTTGGTTACCACACACTGCTGCCCAGCCCAGAGCTAGGATCACTGTTGGAGGAGAGCTGAGCAGAAACAGAAACCTTGAACAGGATTGATGACGAGTAGCCTGTATACCCTGACAGTCAACCACTGGTTATGAAGAAGTGCATACTCTTTTCCTGCACCCTAATAATAAACAGGAAACCAAACAAACCAAAAAAGCAGACTAAGCTTTGTCTGATATGTAAACCAATGTTAGGAGTTGCACCCCAAATTTAGGAAGTGTATACTATCGGTCAGCTTGTCGTTGTGTGCGAGAAAGAAATAGCCTATATTCAAAACAGACTCAGTGTCACACCCTGATCTGTTTCACCTGTCTTTGTGCTTGTCTCCACCCCCCTCCAGGTGTCGCCCATCTTCCCCATTATCCTGTGTATTTATACCTGTGTTCTCTGTTTGTCTGTTGCCAGTTCGTCTTGTCAAGCCTACCAGTGGTTTTCCCGTACTCCTGTTTTGCGCTAGCCCCTGTTTTCACCATTCTGCCTGTCCTGACCCTGACCCTGACCCTGACCATGCCTGCCGTTCTGTACCTTGTGACACTGCTCTGGATTATTGATCTCTGCCTGCCCTTGACCTGTCGTTTACCTGCCCCCTGTTTTTGTAAATAAACTTTTCTTATTTCGAACTGTCTGCATCTGGGTCTTATCCTGAGTCGTGATACTCTGGGACGATATATCCCAAATGTATACAACCAGTAGGCCTATGTTACATCCCACAAAATATCTAAAGCAATGAGGCTCATGCAACAGATCAGAATGCTTAGCTTCAAATGTTCATTAACTATTATTTCTTAACACTATAAGCACAGCAATGCAGACAAGGAAGTAGGCTACTGTCCGAATGTTCGTTCCATAATGCAATTTGCGGGCAAACACTATTGGCAAAATCGCACCTCACATGCTGGCGGTTTCATGAGACAGAGATGAAAATATCTGTTAGACATTTTGAAAGGTAAGACATGCCTCATAATATTTAGTAAAATGTTTAGGTTTCAAACAATTAAGATGGTTGGGGACCGGAGACGAGGCCTGGCCAGTGTCCTACCACGGACCTGCTATGGACGGATCAGGGCATCATCAGGAATGATGGAGATGGAGATGGAGCTGGTGCTACTGTCGGAAGAGGAGTCTACTCAACACCGGACATTAACATAGCTGAGAAGTTCTCCAAGAGATTCACGTCCAAAGTAGATAACACAACCTACAAGGTGGTGCTACAGAATAGGATCAACCCTCAGAAAAGGCAAAAGTGTCGGAGAGAGAGTTACTGGCTGGTCTATGTGCCTGAGGGATCATCTCCTGTTCAAGAGAGAGCTATTGTGGAAAACTCCATCCGTCCTTATGGTTTGCTGCTTAAGGAAGTGTTGTAATCCAGGCAGACAATGTTTGAAAGATAAGTAAATAGGTTGCCGTAATCATACACAGTATGATCAGAAAATGAAGAGATGTAACATCAGATCAATACAATTCTATATCAACTAAGTAACAAGGTTAATTTGTTGCAGTCATAGGATTAGCATAAGATTGCTTGAGATTTTTTCCAGTGTAAATGTAGCCTTTAGCTGCTGTAGGCTACTATTATGGATGTGTTCAAGGTTAATAAAATGACTTAAAATAAGAGTGTATTGTTTATTTACATTATACTTTATTTACAGTGACCCCGCCTTATCTAACCACATCATTTCAACCAGTTGTTTTGGAAAACGAGTGCTTCTAAAGTACAAATACCTCCAAAATGTTAGTTTGGATGACACTGAAAAAGACTTCACTATTGAAAAGCTGTAGTCACAACATCAATACAGCACCAATATACTACACTGGTATTGTTATGGTATTTATTTTCCAATTGTTGACTTACAGTGCCTTCGGAAAGTAATCAGACCCCTTGACTTTTTCCACATTTTGTTACGTTACAGCCTTATTCTAAAATTGATTAAATAAATAAAAATCCTCAGCAATCTACACACAATACCCCATAATGTCAAAGCGAAAAAAGGTTTTTAGAAATTTTTGCAATTGTATTAATAACAAAAAACTGAAATACCTTATAACATAAGTATTCAGACCCTTTGCTATGAGACTCGAAATTCAGCTAAGGTGCATCCTGTTTCCATTGATCATCCTTGAGATGTTTCTACAACTTGATTGGAGTCCACCTGTGGTCAATTAAATTGATTGGACATGATTTGGAAAGACACACACCGGTCTATATAAGGTCCCGTAGTTGACAGTGCATGTCAGAACAAAAACCAAGCCATGGGGTTGAAGGAATTGTCTGTAGAGCTCAGAGACATGATTGTGTTGAGGCACAGATCTGGAGAAGGGTACCAAAACATTTCTGCAGCATTGAAGGTCCCCAAGAACACAGTGGTCTCCATCATTTTTAAATGGAAGAAGTTTGGAAGACTCTTCCTAGAGCTGGCCGCCCGGCCAGGGAGGTGACCAAGAACCTGATGGTCACTCTGACAGAGCTCTAGAGTTCCTCTGCTGAGATGGGAGAACCTTCCAGAAGGACTCCCTGAGCAATGGGGGCGGGCCTTACCAGTGTGCTTCAGACTGGCATAGCGCTGACTCACTTCCTATGAAAAAATATCAGGGTTAGAGATTAAATATTGACTTCATGCCATCCAAACCTCTCAGGCATAGATTTACAGTTAGATAAGGTTTAGTCCTAACCATTGTGACTTCAATCATTTACAGAAGTACTTTTACCTTGAGACTTCAATTCCTGTTCACACAGGTGCTGCACAAATATGTTGTTTTACCTGAAAGGCAACAATTCACAGAGGCAATCTGCAGTTCAAACAATAACAAATGGGTTAACCTGCCATTGTTTTGGTAAATAGCTGACCAATGGGGCTGAAGAAATATAACCACTCTCAAATTCATAGACAGCGCTATGGATGCGAGGACTGACCATCCATAAGATCAAAATGATAGTTTTAATCATGTTTTGAGAATATAGAATCAAGCTTATGATTGGGGTTATAATTGGGGTTTTGATCGGGTAAGGCGGTTCAACTAAGCTCATTAAGTATTTATAAGTTATATTGTTCAAGAATCAATGGGTATATATAATTACTTAAAGTGAAAAAAAATGTAACAACTGCAGATTGAAAAAATACAAACTTTTATTTTGTAATGTCACTTTAAGTAAACTTGTCAAACTTGAGATATATTCAAAGTCTTAACTATTTAAGCGTTTGCATTCCCTTCTGTCTTTGCTGCTACCATTCAACCATAACAAGAAAGGGGATGATCAAGATTTGTACACTATCATTCTACACTGAGTGCACAAAACATTAGGAACACCTGCTCTTTCCATGCCATAGACTGACCTGGTGAATCCAGGTGAAAGCTATGATCCCTTATTGCGGTCACCTGTTAAATCCACTTCAATCAGTGTATATGAAAAGGGAAGAGAGGTTAAAGAAGGATTTCTAAGACTTGAGACATGGATTGTGTATGTGTGCCATTCAGAGGGTGAATGGGCAAAATAAAATATTTAACTGCCTTTGAACGGGTTATGGTAGTAAGTGCCAGGCGCACTGGTTTGTGTCAAGAACTGCTACTCTGCTGGGTTTTTCACACTCAACAGTTTCCCGTGTGTATCAAGAATGGTCCACCACCCAAAGGACATCCAGCCAACTTGACACAACTGTGGGAAGCATTGGAGTCAACATGGGCCAGCATCCCAGTGGAATGCTACCGACACCTCGAAGATTCCATGTCCCGACGAATTGAGGCTGTTCTGAGGGCAAAAGGAGGTGCAAGTCAATATTAGGAAGGTGTTCCTAATGTTTTGTACAGTCAGTGTACGTTTACCATACACTAACTTGTTTTTCCAGTCACTGAAAGAGAAAGTGAAGATGACATTCCACAGCACAGTCTATGCATAGGTGGAAGTACAAGAGCAGACGTCTTCGTGTCTGATCACAAAGAGGAAGGATTTTTCTGCTCTCTGTGAAGTCTTCTTTCCGTAATTGTTTTCGAGTTTTCTAACTCTCACCATGCCAAACGTAAATCTCATCTTGGAGGCTCTGTCTGCCGTCTCAGGTTGCAACGTGGAATCAGCCACTGCGGGAACACTTTCACTAACCCCACAGGACTTTGTCAATGTAGTTGCACTAAAGGAGTTCTACGTACAAGAGGGCCTTCTAGAGTTGGAGTACCCAAGTTTGGGGACATTGTCTTTAAAAGTTGCCTTAGCTTTACCAGATGCCCCATCCGCCGCATCCATTCCACAAACCACTGTTTCTGTGAATGTGAATGAGTTTCTTGATTCTCGGTATGACTACGACTTTACAAATGTTAAGGATGGGGAAGCAGTGTTTACTCGGGGAAAGGAGCAGTACGTCCGACCCTGTGGCTGGAACCGCATTGCCCTGAAGGTTTTGAACAAATACAGGGATGGAGATGGATGGTTGGGGACCGGAGACGATGCTTGGCCAGTGTCCTACCACGGACCTGCTATGGACGGATCCCAGGGCATCATCAGGAATGATGGAGATGGAGCTGGTGCTACTGTCGGAAGAGGAGTCTACTCAACACCGGACATTAACATAGCTGAGAAGTTCTCCAAGAGATTCACGTCCAAAGTAGATAACAAAACCTACAAGGTGGTGCTACAGAATAGGATCAACCCTCAGAAAAGGCAACAGTGTCAGAGAGAGAGTTACTGGCTGGTCTATGTGCCTGAGGGATCATCTCCTGTTCAAGAGAGAGCTATTGTGGAAAACTCCATCCGTCCTTATGGTTTGCTGCTTAAGGAAGTGTTGTAATCCAGGCAGACAATGTTTGAAAGATAAGTAAATAGGTTGCCGTAATCATACACAGTATGATCAGAAAATTAAGAGATGTAACATCAGATTAATACAATTCTATATCAACTAAGTAACACGGTTAATTTGTTATAGTCATAGGATTAGCATAAGATTGTTAGATTTTTTCCCCCAGTGTAAATGTAGCCTTTACCTGATAGGCTACTATTAAGGATGTGTTCAGGGGTTTTAAAATGACTTAAAGTAAGAGTGCATTGTTTATTTACATGATACTTTAATTTCCAGTGAACCCGCATTATCTAACCACATAGTCAAAGCATCAATACAGCACCAATATACTACACTGCTGCCTAGTGGTATTTTATGGTATTCCTTTTCCAATTGTTGACTTAAATGAACAATTTGCCTGATAGATTACTGATAAAGACACTAGCAAACTATGTGAACATATGCTTAGTCCTTTGAAAATGCATTAATTAATGGTTTATTCACATTAAACTATTGTTATATATAACACTGAACAAAAATATAAATGCAACATGTAAAGCTTTGGTCGCATTTTTTATGAGATTAAATAAAAGATCCCAGAAATGTTCCATATGTCAAAACAAAGTGTGTTTCTATCAAATTTTGTGCGCAAATTGTACATTCCTGTTAGTGAGAATTTCTCCTTTGCCAAGGTAATCCATCCATCTGACAGGTGTGGCATATCAAGAAGCTGATTAAACAGCATGATCATTGCACAGGTGCACCTTGTGCTGGGGACAATAAAAGGCCACTCTAAAATGTGCAGTTTTGTCACACAACACAATGCCACATATGTCTCAAGTTTTGAGGGAGCGTGCAATTGGCATGCTGACTGCAGGAATGTCCACCAGAGCTGTTGCCAGAGAATGTAATGTTAATTTCTCTACCATAAGCCACCTCCAATGTCGTTTTAGAGAATTTGGCAGTACATCCAACCCTACTCACAACCACAGACCAAGTGTAACCACGCCCGCCCAGGACCTCCACACCTGGCTTCTTCACCTGCGGGGTAGTCTTATGAGGGGGGATGCTGAGGAGTATTTCTGTCTTTAATAAAGCTCTTTTGTGGGGAAAATCTAATTCTGATTGGCTGGGCCTGGCTACCCAGTGGGTTGACCTGGCTCCCAAGTGTGTGGGCCTACCCACAGCTACGCCCCTGCCCAGTCATGTGAAATCCATAGATTAGGGCCTAATTAATTTATTTCAATTGACTGATTTCCTTCTATGAACTGTAACTCAGTAAAATCTTTGAAATTATTGCATTTATATTTCTGTCCAGTATATATATATATATATATATATATATATATATATATATACATACATACACACACAATGCTTTGGTTTGATGCATTGATTACAAATAAGTGCAAACTTGCCTCTATAAATATAGCCTTTTTAAATCTAGGGCGGCAAGCCAAGGATTTGCAGCAAGCTCACCTGACCGGAAACAGAGTCCAAAGACACAGAGGGTGCCAAACAAGGCCGAGACTGGGGACATCACAGGCATTAGAAGTGTCCAACATGACACCACCTCCCTCTCTGCCACTTCTGTGTCTGGAACGTAAACCACACCTTGGTTACCACACACTGCTGCCCAGCCCAGAGCTAGGATCACTGTTGGAGGAGAGCTGAGCAGAAACAGAAACCTTGAACAGGATTGATGACGAGTAGCCTGTGTACCCTGACAGTCAACCACTGGTTATAAAGAAGTGCATACTCTTTACCTGCACCCTTATAATAAACAGGAAACCAAACAAACCAAAAAAGCAGACTAAGCTTTGTCTGATATGTAAACCAATGTTAGGAGTTGCACCCCAAATTTAGGAAGTGTATACTATCGGTCAGCTTGTCGTTGTGTGCGAGAAATAAATAGCCTATATTCAAAACAGACTCTGTGTCACACCCTGATCTGTTTCACCTGTCTTTGTGCTTGTCTCCACCCCCCTCCAGGTGTCGCCCATCTTCCCCATTATCCTGTGTATTTATACCTGTGTTCTCCGTTTGTCTGTTGCCAGTTCGTCTTGTCAAGCCTACCAGCGGTTTTCCCATACTCCTGTTTTGCGCTAGCCCCTACTTTTTCACCATTCTGCCTGTCCTGACCCTGACCCTGACCATGCCTGCCGTTCTGTACCTTGTGACACTGCTCTGGATTATTGATCTCTGCCTGCCCTTGACCTGTCGTTTACCTGCCCCCTGTTTTTGTAAATAAACTTTTGCTATTTCGAACTGTCTGCATCTGGGTTTTATCCTGAGTCGTGATACTCTGGGACGATATATCCCAAATGTATACAACCAGTAGGCCTATGTTACATCCCACAAAATGTCTAAAGCAATGAGGCTAGTGCAACAGATCAGAATGCTTAGCTTAAAATGTTCATTAACTATTATTTCTTAACACTATAAGCACAGCAATGCAGACAAGGAAGTAGGCTACTGTGCGAATGTTCGTTCCATAATGCAATTTGCGGGCAAACACCATTGGCAAAATCGCACCTCACATGCTAGCGGTTTCATGAGACAGAGATGAAAATATCTGTTAGAAATTTTTAAAGGTAAGACATGCCTCATAATATTTAGTAAAATGTTCAGGTTTCAAACAATTAAGATGGTTGGGGACCGGAGACAAGGCCTGGCCAGTGTCCTACCATGGACCTGCTATGGACGGATCAGGGCATCATCAGGAATGATGGAGATGGAGATGATGCTGGTGCTACTGTCGGAAGAGGAGTCTACTCAACACCGGACATTAACATAGCTGAGAAGTTCTCCAAGAGATTCACGTCCAAAGTAGATAACAAAACCTACAAGGTGGTGCTACAGAATAGGATCAACCCTCAGAAAAGGCAAAAGTGTCGGAGAGAGCGTTACTGGCTGGTCTATGTGCCTGAGGGATCATCTCCTGTTCAAGAGAGAGCTATTGTGGAAAACTCCATCCGTCCTTATGGTCTGCTGCTTAAGGAAGTGTTGTAATCCAGGCAGACAATGTTTGAAAGATAAGTAAATAGGTTGCCGTAATCATACACAGTATGATCAGAAAATGAAGAGATGTAACATCAGATAAATACAATTCTATATCAACTAAGTAACAAGGTTAATTTGTTGTAGTCATAGGATTAGCATAAGATTGCTTGAGATTTTTTCCAGTGCAAATGTAGCCTTTAGCTGCTGTAGGCTACTATTATGGATGTGTTCAAGGTTAATAAAATGACTTAAAATAAGAGTGTATTGTTTATTTACATTATACTTTATTTACAGTGACCCCGCCTTATCTAACCACATAATTTCAACCAGTTGTTTTGGAAAACGAGTGCTTCTAAAGTACAAATACCTCCAAAATGTTAGTTTGGATGACACTGAAAAAGACTTCACTATTGAAAAGCTGTAGTCACAACATCAATACAGCACCAATATACTACACTGGTATTGTTATGGTATTTATTTTCCAATTGTTGACTTACAGTGCCTTCGGAAAGTAATCAGACCCCTTGACTTTTTCCACATTTTGTTACGTTACAGCCTTATTCTAAAATTGATTAAATAAATAAAAATCCTCAGCAATCTACACACAATACCCCATAATGACAAAGCGAAAAAAGGTTTTTAGAAATTTTTGCAATTGTATTAATAACAAAAAACAGAAATACCTTATAACATAAGTATTCAGACCCTTTGCTATGAGACTCGAAATTCAGCTAAGGTGCATCCTGTTTCCATTGATCATCCTTGAGATGTTTCTACAACTTGATTGGAGTCCACCTGTGGTCAATTAAATTGATTGGACATGATTTGGAAAGACACACACCGGTCTATATAAGGTCCCGTAGTTGACAGTGCATGTCAGAACAAAAACCAAGCCATGGGGTCGAAGGAATTGTCCGTAGAGCTCAGAGACATGATTGTGTTGAGGGTACCAAAACATTTCTGCAGCATTGAAGGTCCCCAAGAACACAGTGGTCTCCATCATTTTTAAATGGAAGAAGTTTGGAAGACTCTTCCTAGAGCTGGCCGCCCGGCCAGGGAGGTGACCAAGAACCTGATGGTCACTCTGACAGAGCTCTAGAGTTCCTCTGCTGAGATGGGAGAACCTTCCAGAAGGACAACCATCTCTGCAGCACTCCACCAATCAGGCCTTTATGGTAGAGTGACCAGACAGAAGCCACTCCTCAGTAAAAGACACATGACAGCCCGCTTGGAGTTTGTCAAAAGGCACCTAAATACACTCAGACCATGAGAAACAAGATTTTCTGGTCTGATGAAACCAAGATTGAACTCTTTGGCCGGAATGCCAAGCGACACGTCTAGAGGAAACCTGGCACCATCCCTACGGTGAAGCATGGTGGTGGCAGCATCATGCTGTGGGGATGTTTTTCAGCGGCAGGGACTGGGATACTAGTCAGGATTGAGGCAAAGATGAACGGAGCAAAGTATAGAGAGATCCTTAATGAAAACCTGCTCCAGAGCTCTCAGGACCTCAGACTGGGGCGAAGGTTCACCTTCCAACAGGACAATGACCCTAAGCACAAAGCCAAGACAATGCAGGAGTGGCTTCGGGACAAGTCTCTGAATGTCCTTGAGTGGGCCAGCCAGAGCCCGGAAATCTCTGGAGAGACCTGAAAATAGCTGGGCAGCAACGCTCCCCATCCAACCTGATAGAGCTTGAGAGGATCTGCAGAGAAGAATGGGAGAAACTCCCCAAATACAGGTGTGCCAAGCTTGTTGCTTCATACCTAAGAACACTCGAGGCTGTAATCACTGCCAACGGTGCTTCAACAAAGTACTGAGTAAAGGGTCTAAATACTTATGTAAATGTAATTTTTCTGTGTAAAAATCTGCAAAAAAGAAATTCTACCTGTTTTTGCTTTGTCATTATGAGGTATTGTGTGTAGATTGATGAGGGGAAAAAAAACATTTAATCAATTTTTGAATAAGGCTGTAACCTAACAAAATGTGGAAAAAGTAAAGGGGTCTGAATACTGTCCGAAGGCACTGTATATGAACAATTAGCCGGCTAGTTTGTTAGTGTCTTTATCAGTAATCTATATGAACATATGCTTAGTGCTTTGAAAATGCATTAATTAATGGTTTATTCACATTAACCTCTATGGGATCGGTGTCCCGTATACGGGACGGTTGAGCTAATGTGCGCTAATGTGATTAGCATGACTGTTGTAAGTAACAGCAAACTTTCCAGGACATAGACATGTCTTATATGGGCAGAAAGCTTACATTCTTGTTAATCTAACTGCACTGTCCAATTTACAGTAGCTATTACAGTGAAAAAATACCATGCTATTGTTTGAGGAGAGTGCACAACAACAAAAAACGTATCACTGCATCTGGTTTGATACATAATGTACTTACATTCAGTAATCTTGCTCTGATTTGTCATCCTGAGGGTCCCAGAGATAAAATGTAGCATAGTTTTGTTTGATAAAATCCATTTTTATATTCAAATCTAGGAACTGGATTCTACAGTTTGAACCCTTGCTGTCTCTGGCTCCAAACCCACCCCGCCCGGCCATCTAGATGTGTGAAAGTTAGTGTATAAGCTAATGATCCATCATGTATGACATTCCTGGGAGTGTGTAAACTTACATTTTGTATTATCATATCATTTATGTATGTTCTCTATAATTATGTACTTGAAAATGTATAAATTGACCAATTCGGCACATTTGGGCAGACTTGAAACAATATAGTCCAGTATTGCCTCAATTGGAAACTTTGCACACACAATGCTGCCATCTAACGGCCAATATCAAAATTGCGCCTAAACTGCAATATTATATAGTGGCCTTTCTCTTGCATTTCAAAGATGATGAAAATAATAATAATAGAAAACGTATGTTTTTTTGTTTGTATTATCTTTTACCAGATCCAATATGTTATATTCTCCTACATTAATTTCACATTTCCACAAACCTCAAGGTGTTTCCTTTCAAATGGTATCAAGAATATGCATGTCCTGAGCTACAGGTAGTTAGATTTGGGTATGTAATTTTAGGCGAAAATTGAACAAAAGGGATGATCCTTAAGAGGTTAAACTATTGTTTTTCAGTTATATATATATATATATATATATACACACACTACCGGTCAAAAGTTTTAGAACACCTACTCATTTAAGAGTTTTTCTTTATTTTTACTATTTTCTACATTGTACAATAATAGTGAAGACTTCAAAACTATGAAATAACACATATGGAAACATGTAGTAACCAAGAAAGTGTTAAACAAATCTAAATATATGTTATATTTGAGATTCTTCAAATAGCCACCTTTTGCCTTGATGACAGCTTTGCACACGTTTGGCATTTTCTCAACCAGCTTCACCTGGAATGCTTTTCCAAGAAGGAGTTCCCAAATATCCTGAGCACTTGTTGGCTGCTTTTGCTTCACTCTGTGGTCTGACTCATCCCAAACCGTCTCAATTGGGTTGAGGTCGGGGGATTGTGGAGGCCAGGTCATCTGATGCAGCACTCCATCAATCTCCTTCTTGGTAAAATAGCCCGTACACAGCCTGGAGGTACAGTGGGGAAAAACAGTATTTAGTCAGCCACCAATTGTGCAAGTTCTCCCACTTAAAAAGATGAGAGAGGCCTGTAATTTTCATCATAGGTACACGTCAACTATGACAGACAAAATGAGAAGAAAAAATCCAGAAAATCACATTGTAGGATTTTTTATGAATTTATTTGCAAATTATGGTGGAAAATAAGTATTTGGTCAATAACAAAAGTTTCTCAATACTTTGTTATATACCCTTTGTTGGCAATGACACAGGTCAAACGTTTTCTGTAAGTCTTCACAAGGTTTTCACACACTGTTGCTGGTATTTTGGCCCATTCCTCCATGCAGATCTCCTCTAGAGCAGTGATGTTTTGGGGCTGTCGCTGGGCAACACAGACTTTCAACTCCCTCCAAAGATTTTCTATGGGGTTGAGATCTGGAGACTGGCTAGGCCACTCCAGGACCTTGAAATGCTTATTACGAAGCCACTCCTTCGTTGCCCGGGCGGTGTGTTTGGGATCATTGTCATGCTGAAAGACCCAGCCACGTTTCATCTTCAATGCCCTTGCTGATGGAAGGAGGTTTTCACTAAAAATCTCACGATACATGGCCCCATTCATTCTTTCCTTTACACAGATCAGTCATCCTGGTCCCTTTGCAGAAAAACAGCCCCAAAGCATGATGTTTCCACCCCCATGCTTCACAGTAGGTATGGTGTTCTTTGGATGCAACTCAGCATTCTTTGTCCTCCAAACACGACGAGTTGAGTTTTTACCAAAAAGTTATATTTTGGTTTCATCTGACCATATAACATTCTCCCAATCCTCTTCTGGATCATCCAAAGGCACTCTAGCAAACTTCAGACGGGCCTGGACATGTACTGGCTTAAGCAGGGGGACACGTCTGGCACTGCAGGATTTGAGTCCCTGGCGGCGTAGTAGGTAGGCTGATGGTAGGCTTTGTTACTTTGGTCCCAGCTCTCTGCAGGTCATTCACTAGGTCCCCCCGTGTGGTTCTGGGATTTTTGCTCACCGTTCTTGTGATCATTTTGACCCCACGGGGTGAGATCTTGCGTGGAGCCCCAGATCGAGGGAGATTATCAGTGGTTTTGTATGTCTTCCATTTCCTAATAATTGCTCCCACAGTTGATTTCTTCAAACCAAGCTGCTTACCTATTGCAGATTCAGTCTTCCCAGCCTGGTGCAGGTCTACAATTTTGTTTCTGGTGTCCTTTGACAGCTCTTTGGTCTTGGCCAGGTTGCATGGCAGGGAAGCATTTTGTCCAACCTCAACGAAATGGACCACAGGTGATGGGACAAAAAGTGTAGTCCAGAAACAGCTAGAAAATAAAGTGAAATAGTTGATTAAACTCATTTGCAAACTATATTTTCAAATTCCTTAAAATGAAATTAATCTGTAATTAGTCATCAGGCCTATTCTTTCCCAGTTTTCGTTTCTGGTAGCTCAGCTGACGCACCCGGGGCTTGCGCTGCTTTGCTTTCTGCCACTGCTCAGGCTCAATCACAATTTTCAAGTTCAAGGAAGGGTCAACCTACTCGCAGTCTGTTACAATGAAAATGTATGGAATATACTGGGACCGGTAAGCGACACATGTATTTAATTTTAATTAGCAAATAATCTAAACAATTCTTAGAGTCAAATTGAAAAAAATGCATTTGTATCTGTACATAGCCTAAATGCTTCTTGCCTATTGTATTCACTGTGCAGTGGGCAACTCATTTAAACGAGAAGATTGATTGAGCACAGTTTTGGTCTTTGCGTCTTGAAAAATATAACACTATTTGACGAATCAAATAAGCTTGTTGACCAATCAATCGGCTTGCACATGCAAATTCAGCACACACAACATTCTATAATATAATTGTGTCAAATTAAAAGCTTATTTGATGCGTCAAATGATGTTATTTGAAGTGTACTTTTTTTTGACACGCAAAGACCCAAACGGCGTTCCATAGGAGATAGATGTATGCATTTATTGGTCGATGACATAATGTATGGACAAGTTTGTTAACTAAATTAGACGCATGGGGTGCATTAGGGCCGCTATATTCTTGAGTTTCGTTTTCAGAGAAGGGCACACTGCCAGTCGCTTCAAAGAAACTCAATAGAAACCTAACTGTTTTGGAAACACCCGCAGGAGGAGAAACGAATCTGATTTCATGCCATTGACAATCATTCTATTTTAAAGCTATAACATCAATAAGTGTCAGATATACTAGTGAGGTTGTTTCAAACTTTTAAAATATTTGAGATCATTTTGCAGTATATGAAAGTAAAACATATTTTATAATTTTTCTCTAATTGTGACTTTTGTTTGACAACAGTTTTTACATAATAATAGGCCATAAGGCTTTGCATCAATAACATTATATATATACAGTGAGGGAAAAAAGTATTTGATCCCCTGCTGATTTTGTACGTTTGCCCACTGACAAATAAATGATCAGTCTATAATTTTAATGGTAGGTTAATTTGAACAGTGAGAGACAGAATAACAACAAAAAAATCAAGAAAAACGCATGTCAAAAATTTTATAAATTGATTTGGACAGGTGTCTTTTATACAGGTAACAAGCTGAGATAAGGAGCACTCCCTTTAAGAGTGTGCTCCTAATCTCAGCTCGTTACCTGTATAAAAGACACCTGGGAGCCAGAAATCTTTCTGATTGAGAGGGGGTGAAATACTTATTTCCCTCATTAAAATGCAAATCAATTTATAACATTTTTGACCTGCGTTTTTCTGGATTTCTTTGTTGTTATTCTGTCTCTCACTGTTAAAATAAACCTACCATTAAAAGTATAGACTGATCATGTCTTTGTCAGTGGGCAAATGTACAAAATCAGCAGGGGATCAAATACTTTTCCCCCTTCACTGTGTATATATATATAACTAAACTAAGTTTTTCACAATTCCTGACATTTAATCCTAGTAAAAAGTCCCTGTTTTAGGTCAGTTAGGATCACCACTTTATTTTAAGAATGTGAAATGTCAGAATAATATCAGAGATAATGATTTATTTCATATTTTATTTCTTTCATCACATTCCCAGTGGGTCAGAAGTTTACATACACTCATTTAGTATTTAGTAGCATTGCCTTTAAATTGTTTAACTTGGGTCAAACGTTTCGGGTAGCCTTCCACAAGCTTCCCACAATAAGTTGGGTGAATTTTGGCCCATTTCTCCTGACAGAGCTGGTGTAACTGAGTCAGGTTTGTAGGCCTCCTGCTCGCACACGCTTTTTCAGTTCTGCCCACACATTTTCTATAGGATTGAGGTCAGGGATTTGTGATGGCCACTCCAATTCCTTTACTTTGTTGTCCTTAAGCTATTTTGCCATAACTTTGGAAGTATGCTTGGGGTCATTGTCCATTTGGAAAACCCATTTGCGACCAAGCTTTAACTTCCTGAATGATGTCTTGAGATGTTGCTTCAATATATCCACATAATCTTTCTTCCTCATGATGCCATCTATTTTGTGAAGTGCACCAGTCCCTCCTGCAGCAAAGCACCCCCACAGCATGATGCTGCCACCCCCGTGCTTCACGGTTGGGATGGTGTTCTTCGGCTTGCAAGCAGCCCCCTTTTTCCCTCCAAACATAACGATGGTCATTATGGCCAAACAGGTCTATTTTTGTTTCATCAAACCAGAGGATATTTCTCTAAAAAGTACAATTTTTGTCCCCATGTGCAGTTGCAAACCGTAGTCTGGCTTTTTTATGGCGGTTTTGGAGCAGTGGCTTCTTCCTTGCTGAGCGGCCTTTCAGGTTATGTCGATATAGGACTCATTTTACTGTGGATATAGATACTTTTGTACCTGTTTCCTCCAGCATCTTCACAAGGTCCTTTGCTGTTGTTCTAGGATTGATTTGCACTTTTCGCACCAAAGTACGCTCATCTCTAGGAGACAGAACATGTCTCCTTTCTGAGTGGTATGACGACTGCGTGGTCCCATGGTGTTTATACTTGCGTACTATTGTTTGTACAGATGAACGTGGTACCTTCAGGCGTTTGGAAATTGCTCCCAAGGATGAACCAGACTTGTGGAGTAATTACATATTTTTTTTACTCCAACCTAAGTGTATGTATACTTCCGACTTCATCTGTATACAGTGCTATGAAAAAGTATTTGCCCCCTTTCTAATTTTCTCTACTTTTGCATATTTGTGATACTGAATGTTATCAGATCTTCAACCAAAACCTAATATTAGATAAAGGGAACATAAGTGAACAAATAACACAACAATTACATATTTATTTCATAAACAAAAGTTATGCAACACCCAATTCCCCTGTGTGAAAAAGTAATTGCCCCCTTACACTCAATAACTGGTTGTGCCACCTTTAGCTGCAATGACTCCAACCAAATGCTTCCTGTAGTTGTTGATCAGTCTCTCATGTCGCTGTGGAGGAATTTTGGCCCACTCTTCCATGCAGAACTGCTTTAACTCAGTGACGTGTGGGTTTTCAAGCATAAACTGCTCATTTCAAGTCCTGCCACAACATCTCAATTGGGATTAGGTCTGAACTTTGACTAGGCCATTCCAAAACTTCAAATGTGTTGCTTTTTAGCAATTTTCATGAAGACTTGATTGTGTGTTTTGGATCATTGTCTTGCTGCATGACCCAGCTGTGCTTCAGCTTCAGCTCACAGACGGATGGTCTGACATTCTCCTGTAGAATTCTCTGATCGAGAGCAGAATTCATGGTTCCTTCTATTAAGGCAAGTCGTCCAGGTCCTGAGGCAGCAAAGCATCCCCAAACCATCACACCACCACCACCACCATGCTTGACCTTTGGTATGATGTTCTTACTGTGGAATGCAGTGTTTGGTTTTGGCCAGGCATTACTGGAACCATGTCGTCCAAAAAGTTGACTCAAGTTTGCCAAAAAGCACCTGGATGATCATCAAGACTCTTGGAAGAACGTTCTATGGACAGATGATTCAAAAGTATAACTTTTGGGGGGCAAATACTTTTTCATAGCACTGTTTATATGCTTTCATTTAATCCTCTTATGCTGATTCTTCTTCCTTTCCTTTTTTTTAGACATTTCATACATCTTCATTGTCTGTGGATTGTCGGCTGTGTTGGTGAGTATAAATTAACTCTATCCACATATTATTATGGGTCGTTCGAGCCCTGAACACTGATTGGCTGACAGCCACGGTATATCAGACCGTATACCACGAGTATGACAAAACATTCATTCTTACGGCTCTAATTACGTTGGTAATCAGTTTATAATAGCAATAAGGCACCTCTGGGTTTTGTGGTATATTGCCAATATACCATGGTGAAGGGCTGTATCCAGGCACTCCGTGTTGCGTCATGCGTAAGAACAGCCCTTAGCTGTAGTATATTGGCCATATACCACACCCCCTTGGGCCTTATTGCTTAACTAGAACATGAACATTAGCAAAAAAAATAAAAAATCCATGATTTTCCAATCATTGGTTCCAACTCTCCTACAGCCTCCTCATCCCTTCCTTCCATCCCTGTCTCCATCTCTTCCCCTGTGGGAAGCCAAGCCATCCTTCCCTGCAAGTGGAAGTCCCAGCTAGAAAACATCCCAGTTTGCCATGTCCAGTGGCAGACACCCGATGAGACTGTGTTTGAACAGAAGGGGGAGCAACGGTGGCAGGCAAGCGAGTTTGAGGGGCGGGTGGAGGTACCTGAGGAAAAGCTGTGGGAGGGCGACTGCTCTCTGATCTTGCGTGACGTGCAGTTTGGGGATGTGGGGCTTTACGAGAGCTTCATGGTGGTTGACAGGGCACGTATGAAGAGGCGGGTGTTCATCCAGAGTGTCCAGCTCTCAGTCCATGGTAAGGGTAGAACTATCTTTACTACAAGGTGGGGCTATAAGGCCAGGTGAAAGTGATCAGAAGGTCACTTTATGGCACTGCACCTCATTTAGACCACCTGAAAAGTGCAGAAGTCACATTTTCAGATTGGTCAAGCATTACACTTTCCTCACGATCTCTTACCTAATTTCTTCTGTAATTCTCTCCAGACCACAAGTCCAAGCAGTCCTTGAGGGTGGGTGGAAACCTGACCCTGAAGCTCCACACTCCCCAGGCCATGAGAGTGGTCTTCCAGGGGAGGAACAGCACAGAGTTGACGGTCCTGTGGATAAGGGGTGAAGAGGACAACAGGGGTTGTCTTGAGGAGGCTGAACGGTTGGTGGTCCTCAAAGGGTTAAGGATGGACGACTGTGGGACCTATAAGGTGTTGGATTCCCATGGGCTGTCTGTTAGCACTGTTGAACTTACAGTGGAAGGTAAAATACCTGAGCCATGGTGGCAACAAATCGTCCTCTCTGGGTATAGAACATGGTTAATAATATAACTAATCTTTCGGATTTCTAACTACTCTATTTTTCCCCTTTAGCATGTCCCACAAAGGTTGTTAAAACTCCACATTTCCCTCAGATCGAGGATAAACAAGCACCTGTAGGTAAGATGTCCAGAGGTTAAAATGCAGTTAATTCCAGATATTTATTGTGTAAGGAAAGTATACCGAATTGATGATACTGCAGAGTGATGGACAATAGAAGTCTGAACAAGTTGTTTCCATCTCCTATCTCTCCAGGTAAATCGACATATAACAGGTCCTCCTCTCTGCTCATGTTATTTGTCCTGCTGTTCAGTCCCCTGATTCAACATCTCCTCTAACAACGATCGGCCATGTAAGCGAGGTTTAAACCTATTGGGCCGGTTTCCCAGACCGTCTGCAATATTTCTTACACCCTAGGCCAAATCAGCAAATCAGAGTGCTTTCCCCCTGTGAAAACAGTGAAATTCAAAAAAACAGAAATGTAAGAAATGCAAATAAGATTTGGTTGTAGTCTGGCCAATGTGTTCCAGGGCATTTAATAAAATAATACAAAATAAATCAAGTTTGAGCCTTTTTCCCGGACCCAGATTAACCCTAGTCCTAATTAACTTAAAAGCGAGCTCAAGACAATCTTCATTGAAACTGCTTTCTAGGCCAGGACTAGACTTAATCTGTGTCCAGAAAATAACATCTAATTTATTCAGTGTTATGCCACTTTCGCAGTGTAGGCCATAGCTTACTGCTCCATGTATTATACAGAGTTTAGGTCAATCCAATTCTGTAACAAAGAATAAAGTTGAATTGAACCCAATCCAGATTTTGACAGGAAAGTCTCTTTAAATAAAGACTAGTTTTTATTTCTGGAAGTTACGTAGACTTAGTTTTGTTTGTTCATTTTACATTAATTGGTATGAAAACCTGAGATCATATTTAGTTTTGAAGTTCAGTGATTTTGATTATTACATACATACTACTCATAATAGTAATATATAATAAAAGTGGGATTGTTGTTTTGTTGTTCAATTTTATTACAGCAATGTAATCTTAATTTATGTTAAATACAGTGCCTTGCAAAAGTATTCATCCCGTTGGCGTTTTTCCTATTTTGTTGCATTACAACCTGTAATTTAAATGGATTTTTATTTGGATTTCATGTAATGGACATACACAAAATAGTCAAAATTGGTGAAGTGAAATGAAAAACATAACTTGTTAAAAAAAATCTAAAAAATAAATAATGGAAAAGTGGTGCGTGCATATGTATTCACCCCCTTTGCCATGAAGCCCCTAAATAAGATCTGGTGCAACCAATTACCTTCAGAAGTCACATAATTAGTTAAATAAAGTCCACCTGTGTGCAATCTAAGTGACACATGATCTCAGTATATATATACACCTGTTCTGAAAGGCCCCAGTGTCTGCAACACCACTAAGCAAGAGGCACCACCAAACAAGCGGCACCATGAAGACCAAGGAGCTCTCCAAACAGGTCAGGGACAAAGTTGTGGAGAAGTACAGATCAGGGTTGGGTTATAAAAAAATATCAGAAACTTTGAACATCCCACAGAGCACCATTAAATCCATTATTGACAAGTGGAAAGAATATGGCACCACAACAAACCTGCCAAGAGAGGGCCGCCCACCAAAACTCACGGACCAGGCAAGGAGGGCATTAATCAGAGGCAACAAAGAGACCAAAGATTATCCTGAAGGAGCTGCAAAGCTCCGCAGCGGAGATTGGAGTATCTGTTCATAGGACCACTGTAAGCCGTACACTCCACAGAGCTGGGCTTTACGGAAGAGTGGCCAGAAAAAAGCCATTGCTTAAAGAAAAAAATAAGCAAACACATTTGGTGTTCGCCAAAAGGCATGTGGGAGACTCCCCAAAAATATGGAAGAAGGTACTCTGCTCAGATAAGACTAAAATTGAGCTTTTTGGCCATCAAGGAAAACGCTATGTCTGGAGCAAACCCAACACCTCTCATCACCCTGAGAACACCATCCCCACAGTGAAGCATGGTGGTGGCAGCATCATGCTGTGGGGATGTTTTTCCATCGGCAGGGACTGGGAAACAGGTCAGAATTGAAGGAATGATGGATGGCGCTAAATACAGGGAAATTCTTGAGGGAAACCTGTTTCAGTCTTCCAGAGATTTGAGACTGGGATGGAGGTTCACCTTCCAGCAGGACAATGACCCTAAGCATACTGCTAAAGCAACACTCGAGTGGTTTAAGGGGAAACATTTAAATGTCTTGGAATGGCCTAGTCAAAGCACAGACCTCAATCGGCAGGTAGCTTAGTGGGTAAGAGCGTTGTGCCAGTAACCGAAAGGTCGCTGGTTCTAATCCCCGAGCCGACTAGGTGAAAAATCTGTCGATGTGCCCTTAAGCAAGGCACTTAACCCTAATTGCTCCTGTAAGTCGCTCTGGATAAGAGCGTCTGCTAAATGACTAAAATGTAAATCCAATTGAGAATCTGTGGAATGACTTAAAGATTGCTATACACCAGCGGAACCCATCCAACTTGAAGGAGCTGGAGCAGTTTTGCCTTGAAGAATGGGAAAAAATCCCAGTGGCTAGAGGTGCCAAGCTTATAGAGACATATCCCCAAGAGACTTGCAGCAGTAAATGCTGCAAAAGGCGGCTCTACAAAGTAATGACTTTGGGGGGATGAATAGTTATGCACGCTCAAGTTCCGTTTTTTTGTCTTATTTCTTGTTTGTTTCACAATAAAAAATATTTTGCATCTTCAAAGTGGTAGGCATGTTGTGTAAATCAAATGAAACAAACCCCCAAAAAATCAATTTGAATTCCAGGTTGTAAGGCAACAAAATAGGAAAAATGCCAAGGGGGGTGAATACTTTCGCAAGCCACTGTAAAGCATTGAAAATGACACAAACAAGCATGTGATGGTCCTTTACAGCCTTGTGATTGTAATAAACTTAGATTATAACATATTGGAATGACTTCATTTACTGTGCCACTATAGTATACTGTTGAAGTCAGAAGTTTACATACACCTTAGCCAAATACATTTAAACTCAGTTTTTCACAATTCCTAACATTTAATCCTAGTAAAAATTCCCTGTCTTAGGTCAGTTAGGATCACCACTTTAGTTTAAGAATGTGAAATGTCAGAATAATAGTAGAGAGAATGATTTATTTCAGCTTTTATTTCTTTCATCACATTCCCAGTGAGTCAGAAGTTTACATACACTCAATTAGTATTTTATATCATTGCCTTTAAATTGTTTAACTTGGGTCAAACGTTTCAGGTAGCCTTCCACAAGCTTCCCACAATAAGTTGGGTGAATTTTGGCCCATTCCTCCTGACAGAGCTGGTGTAACTGAGTCAGGGTTGTAGGCCTCCTTGCTCGCACACGCCTTTTCAGTTCTGCCCACAAACGTTCTATAGGATTGAGGTCAGGGCTTTGTGATGGCCACTCCAATACCTTGACTTTGTTGCCCTTAAGCCATTTTGCCACAACTTTGGAAGTATGCTTGGGGTCATTGTCCATTTGGAAGACCCATTTGCGACCAAGCTTTAACTTCCTGACTGATGTCTTGAGATGTTGCTTTAATATATCCACATAATTTTCATTCCTCATGATGCCATCTATTTTGTGAAGTGCACCAGTCCCTCCTGCAGCAAAGCACCCCCACAGCATGATGCTGCCACCCCCGTGCTTCACGGTTGGGATGGTGTTCTTCGGCATGCAAGCGTCCCCCTTTTTCCTCCAAACATAACGATGGTTATTATGGCCAAACAGTTCTATTTTTGTTTCATCAGACCAGAGGACATTTCTCCAAAAAGTACGATCTTTGTCCCCATGTGCAGTTGCAAACCATAGCCTGGCTTTTTTATGGCGGTTTTGGAGCAGTGGCTTCTTCCTTGCTGAGCGGCCTTTCAGGTTATGTCGATATAAGACTAGTTTTACTGTGGATATAGATACTTTTGTACCTGTTTCCTCCAGCATCTTTACAAGGTCCTTTGATGTTGTTCTGGGATTGATTTGCACTTTCCGCACCAAAGTACGTTAATCTCTAGGAGACAGAACACGTCTCCTTCTTGAGCGGTATGACGGCTGCATGGTCCCATGGTGTTAATACTTGCGTACTATTGTTTGTACAGATGAACGTGGTACCTTCAGGCGTTTGGAAATTGCTCCCAAGGATGAACCATACTTGTGGAGGTCTACAATTTATTTTCTGAAGTCTTGGCTGATTTATTTTGATTTTCCCATGATGTCAAGTAAAGAGGCACTGAGTTTGAAGGTAGGCCTTGAAATACATCCACAGGTACACCTCCAATTGACTCAAATGATGTCAATTAGCATATTAGAAGCTTCTAAAGCCATGACATCATTTTCTGGAATTTTCCAAGCTGTTTAAAGGCACAGTCAACTTAGTTTATGTAAACTTCTGACCCACTGGAATTGTGTACAGTGAATTATAAGTGAAATAATCTGTCTGTAAACAATTGTTCGAAAAATTACTTGTGTCATGCACAAAGTAGATGTCCTAACTGACTTGCCAAAACTATAGTTTGTTAACAAGACATTTGTGGAGTGGTTGAAAAACGAGTTTTAATGACTCCAACCTAAGTGTATGTAAACTTCCGACCTTAACTGTATTGAACAAAAATATTGTTGCAGTTCATATAAGGAAATCAGTCAATTGAAATAAATTCATTAGGCCCTAATCTATGGATTTCACATGACTGGGAATACAGATATGCATCTGTTGGTCACAGACACATACCTTTTTAAAAAGGTAGGGGCGTGGATCAGAAACCAGTCAGTATCTGGTATGACCACCATTTGTCTCATTCAGCGCGACACATCTCCTTCACATAGAGTTGATCAGGCTGTTAATTGTGGCCTGTGGAATGTTGTCCCACTCCTCTTCAATGGCTGTGCGAAGTTGCTGGATACTGGCGGGAACTGGAACACGCTGTCGTACACATCAATCCAGAGCATCCCAAACATGCTCATGGGTGACATGTCTGGTGAGTATGCAGGCCACGGAAGAACTGGAACATTTTCAACTTCCAGGAATTGTTTACAAGACCTTGCGACATGGGGCTGTGCATTATTATGCCGAAACTTGAGGTGATGCAGCGGATGACTGGCACGAAACTGGTCCTCAGGATCTCGTCACGGTATCTCTGTGCATTCAAATTGACATAGATAAAATGCAATTGTGTTCGTTGTCCATAGCTTATGCCTGCTCATACCATAACCGCACAGCCACCATGGGGCACTCTGTTCACAATGCTGACATCAGCAAACCGCTCGCCCACACGATGCCATACAAGTGGTCTGCAGTTGTTAGGCCGGTTGGACGTACTGCCAAATTCTCTAAAACGACATTGGAGGTGGCTTATGGTAGAGAAATTAACATTCAATTATCTGGCAACAGCTCTGGTGGACATTCCTGCAGTCAGCATGCCAATTGCATGCTCCCTCAAAACTTGAGACATGTGGCATTGTGTTGTGTGACAAAACTGCACAATTTAGAGTTGCTTTTATTGTCCCCAGCACAAGGTGCACACACCTGTAATGATCATGATGTTTAATCAGCTTCTTGATATGCCACAACTGTCAGGTGGATGGATTATCTTGGCAAATGAGAAATGCTCACTAAAAGGGATGTAAAACAATTTGTGCACGATAAGCTTTTTGTGATCTTTTATTTCAGCTCATGAAACATGGGACCAACACGTTACATGTTGCGTTTATATTTTTGTTTAGTGTACATGTATGAGAACACAGAACAAGGGCCCGGGAGATACCACTCTTTCCCTTTTCACACTGAACTTCAATGATACCTCGTGCTCCTCCCTCTCACAATCATAATAGACTGGGGGTGCACACCTCTGGTTCTCTGATCCAAAGACTGGATTCTACTTGGATTCTACCTGGGAATGTAATTGATCAATTATGTGCTAGGGAGAAACGAAAACCAGCACCAACTCGAGGGCCTGAGTTGCGCAACCCTGTCTGGAATAGACCATCTACTCTATTTCTTCTTACAGCCTTTGATTTCTGTGATCTCTCCTGTCAATCCCCATAACCACTGAACCTTTCCTCATCCCATTTCTGTCTCTTCATCCCCCTATCCCCTCCCCGAAAGCAAAGAACCCAGCAGCCATGAAAGAAAAGGTAGCACTTTCACACAAGACCTTACCCATTGACATTGGTACAATGTCAAATCAAAAATGACAGGTTCCCACGTGCAATACGTTGTCCTTAATCAGTGGAGCGATGTCACAAGCAAAGGGATATACTCTTCTACTCGTTTCCAATCAGGCCATGTCTGATTTTGAGCTCCTTCATTTAATCCATCACATCCCCATAATTCCTCAGTCTCTACCCTTGTAAGTGTCCAGTTAGAAGTTGGGCTTGTGTTTCTTGACCTCGACCATGAGGTGGTGCAGGTTGATGAGCTCTGAGCGCACTGCCAGGCTGCGGAAGGTGGGCTGGGACAGCACCTTGTGGAAGCCATGGTAGTACTGGATGAGCTGGGTGAGCGCCCCCTGGAGGATAGGAGGACAGGAGTAGAAAGTCAAAAGTTGAATGATATGCTTCAGAGGAATAAAACGTATAACAGCCCATGACTCATGGTTGCTTAAATCTTAAAAAAGAAAAATATTTATGTCAATTTAAGGGACCCCTTTTGGCTCAAGAGCACCCCTACAGGCAAAAGTTCTGTATACTCTTTAACTACATACTGTACAATATTATGACTTGTTTAGAGTAAATGCATAGAGGAAGGCAGTACCTGAATGATACCAGTGCCGTTCTTGAAGTTGGTGAAGGACCTCATGACATTCTGACTCAGAGCTTCCACAGACTGTTTCCATGTGCTGGAAAACCCCCTGACTAGCTGTGTGATCCGGGCTGAGAGAGAGAGAAGAAAGAAAGACAGAAAAAGAGAGGGGTTGAGAAAGGGGGGGGGGGGGGGGGGGAGAGAGAGAGAACAATATGAGTTTAGAGATGGGAGGTATGGCGAGAGGGGGAGAAGGGTGTGGGAGAAATGTAAGACAATCGTTTGGGTGGAAGTCAAACAGCGAGAGGTGTCACAGGAGAGTAGAAACAAACAGTCCAAACAGTAGAGGTAATAAAGAACGAGTCAGGACAGGAGGAAAGTAGAAGAAAGAGAAGGTTACCGTGAAAAAGACAAGGGCACGTTCTGCAAACAATTAAATGATCAAAAGGGCTGTATCTTTTCTCTCTACTCACCTTCATCATTCTTTAGTCTATCCAGCTGCCCTTTCTCTATCAACGCTTCGCTCTCCTTCACAAATGCTATCATGCCACCAAAGGGAGACGACAGAATCTCCTCAATAAACTCCTGATGAAAGGAGAAAGAAAGAGGGGAACATTTCATTTGAGTAAACTCTGATTATCTGTGACTCTGGCACACATGACAAAACTCAATTTCCCAGAATCCCTGTGCATTTTTACCTGGTTCCTGGCCTGAAGGAGCTGTTGGAAGCCCTCAACCTCTTTACTGTCATCGGCTGCCCTCTCCTATGACATGGAAAGAAAAAGAGGAAAACAGCATGACATATTTTAATTCTGTATATTCAGAAGACTTAGCCTAGCGGTTAAGGGCGTTGGGCCAGTAACCGAAAGGTACCTGGTTCGAATCCCAGAGCCGACTACGTGAAAGTCGCTCTGGATAAGAGCGGCTGCTAAATGACAAAAATGTTAATAACTGAATAAAGGAGTCATTTCAGGTGGGTAAATAAGTTATTCATTAATGTTCATGGTTTTAAACTTGTGTTATTCTCACCATGAGTACATTGAGCATCATGTCGTAGTTGTTGATTAGGAAGATGAGCTGGTCCCTGCGTGAAGGGAACTCTGCCGCCATCTTCAGGACAAAGTTCTCCACTTCAACCTGAAAATACCAGTGGTAGCTATATCAATTACATTTTACATTTTAGTCAGTTAGTGAGCGCCTACATTTTTTTATACTGGCCCCCCGTGGGAATCGAACCCACAACCCTGGCGTTGCAAGCGCCATGCTATACCAACTGAGCTACACGGGACCAATATCAATCACACAAAACACTATTTCAAATGTTCATGCTAATTGTAGGATCCCCACTATTTATACTATTTTACTGTTCTTATTGTTGTTTAGTTGTCTACCTGCAGTTGGCCAAGGAGGGTGTGGGTTCGCTCGCTGGTGAATGTCTGGTTAATGCTAACGATGGCAGATGAGAACTCTGCGTATCTGCGTGTGATCTGAAACATGAACACAACTGGTGTCAACAACTGTCTGGTATTATTAGACATTGATACCTAAAATACGTCAAATACGTGTGTGTTCATACATAGTGTGGTCTGGTGTCCAGCACGCCCAGTTTCTGGGGGTCCGTGTTGCGGATGCTCTGAATGTTCATCTCCAGGATGAGCTCAAACCTGGGCCACAGCAGCTCCAGCACCGCCTCCCAGTACCTGGCACCCCATGGAGAAACAATGACATAATAGACATATGAAAATGTGCATCAAGGAGCGATTCTGAGTTAAGATGTGTTTCTTTTAACAAATCTTTACCAAATCCATTGACATCAATGTGATTTCCATTAAACAAATTACATTAGTATGTCTTATGTCAGGCCCCAAACGTTCTATTTTACAGAACATACAGTAAAAAGACTACTGTATCATAGGTTTTAACAATAAATTGTTTCTGACTTTCCCCTTACATATAGAATATACACTCAACGGCCAGTATATTAGGTTTACCCATGTAGTACCGGGTCGGACCCCCATTTTCCTCCCGAACAGCCTGAATTCTTCGGGGAATGGATTCTACAAGGTGTTGGAAACGTTCGTTGCTCAATTGGTATCAAGGGACCTAACGTGTGACAGGAAAACATTCCCCACACCAGTACACCACCGCCACCAGCCTGTACCAGTCAGGATGGGTCCATAGACTCATTAGGCTTACGCCAAATCATGACTCTGCCATCAGCATGACGCAACAGGAACTGGGATTCGTTGGACCAGGCAATGTTTTTCCACTCACCCAGTGTGGTTGATTGGGTGCCCACTAGAGGCGCTTCTTCTTATTTTTTAGCTGATAGGAGTGGAACCCGGTGTGGTCGACTGCTGCAATAGCCCATCCGTGACAAGGATCCACGAACTGTGCCTTCCGAGATGCCGTTGTGCACACCACTGTTGTACTGCGCCGTTATTTGTCTGTTTGTGGCCCGCCTGTTAGCTTGCACGATTCTTGCCATTGTCCTTCAACCTCTCTCATCAACTAGCTTTTTTCGCCCACAGGACTGCCGCTAACTGGATGTTTTTTGTTTGTCGCACCATTCTCGGTAAACCCTAGACACTGTCGTGTGTGAAAAGCCCAAGAGAGGCCGTTTCTGAGATACTGGATCCGGTGCGCCTGGCACCGACAATCATACCCCGCTCAAAGTCGCTTAGGTCACTAATTTTTCCCATTCTAACGTTCAATCAAACAGTAACTGAATGCCTCGAAGCCTGTCTGCCTGCTTTATATAACAAGCCAAGGCCACGTGACTCACTATCTGGAGGAGCGATCCATTTTCGTGTGCCTAATAAACTGGCCGGTGAGTGTATAGCATACTGCAGGAAATAGGATATGTGACATATAACACTATGCTCCGAGTTAAAAGTGTATGGAGTGTCATTGGAGTATTTGCGCTGAGAGAGTGTTACTGACTTATCCAGGGCTGGGATGACCCTCTTGGTTGTGATGGCTCTGAAACGCAGGATGATGTGGATACACAGGAACACAGCGATGCTGTCGTAGCAGTCCGATACATAGGTGGACATGCTCTTCTGCAGGGGAAAGAAGGAGGGCGGAGGGAGGGAGGGAGGAAAGGAGGGAGGGAGGGAGAGGTGGGTATAGGCATGATAGAGAAAGAGTAATATCATTATTAGAGACCATTATCATTTTACAAAAAGAAGGACTCCACTATTAACTGCTGGGTTATGCCTTTACTATTTTGTAACAGCAATGTATGAGAAGTCTCATCGTACCAGGAACAAGCTGAGTGTCTTTCCCATGACGCTGTTGAAGAGGTCCAGCGCAGAGTTTCCAGCCACCATGAAGAAGTCAGTCAGGAAGAGGAACTCTCGACAGCTGTTGTCCAAGAGGGCGTAGTGCTGACTGCGGAACAGCGTCTCATAGGGATACTGAGACAGGAGGAAGAAGGTTAGTTGGGTGACTTGATAATCTACATCAATGTTAATATTATAACTGCCGCTGTACATTCCTTTGAGATGAGTGTGGTGACAAGAAGGTAGTGAGAGAAGCACAGGTGTATTGGAGCCGTACAGCTTAACAATATCTAGACGTTTAGGGTTGGCTTGGTGTCTTTGCCTCACAACCTTACACTCTATGCATGTTAAAATGATTTCAAAGTAGTACATAGCATCTTATAATAAAAGGTAGGGTAATTTCATTTAAAATGTCTGTTACACTCGTGCAGTAGTATTTGGTATGGTTTGGGTGGTCTGATTTGGGTAGTGCAGCACTGCCAGTGGTCTCACCCTGCAGTCCCCTCTCTGGGCAGTGTGGGGGATGATGATGGGCCCCTCCAGCTCGGCAGGGCTCAGCACGGCCCCCCGCTGGCCCAGGGTGAAGATGGTGTTCCTGCTCTTCAGGGAGGGCTTGGAGAAGAAACCTTTCTTGGCCGTGTCTTCCACTCCCATCAGGTCATCTTTGTCTGCCACCTCCTCATACTGTCAACATAAAGAGACACGAGAAAGATATTACGAGAACAGTATTAAATATTATCTGCTAATTCAAGTAACAACATGAATTAAGGTATATTGAGCCTATAAACCAAGAGAAGGTATTTTTTACTTCAAAATGTAGCCTCCTTCACTCCTTCAGACTTTGACATTGCTCATTCTGATATTTCTTAATTTATTTCTTTTTATTTTGGGGGATTTGTGTGTATTGTTAGGTATTACTGCACTGTTGGAGCTAAAAACATAAGCATTTCGCTGCATCTGCAAAATATGTGTACGTGACCAATAACATTTGATTTAGCGCCTTGTCATTCACTCACCTGTACTTTGAGCAGCCTGCCGCTGTAGGACTTGAAGTAGCTGTAGTAGATCTTACTCATGGTGTCCACGTACTCATCCCTGATCTCCTTAGCTACTGTCCTTTCATTTGCCAAGAGGAACTGATAGAAAAACCTAAAGTACAAAGAAGAAAGTTCGATTTTTGTAGATACATTGTGGTGGTGCTTTTTAAGCCTGTATCATTACCTGTACTTGAGGAGAGTGTTCTGGGGGATTTGATAGTTGGTCATGGGCTTTCTGAAGGAATAAATCTTCTGGAGGATAAATTCTCTGATCTTTGCGACAGCCTGTGGAACAAAATAAAAGCCTGTTTTATACACAATATCTTTTTTTTGTTACCTTACACACCATTATTCCTCACTTTATCTCCTTCTCCTCTTCCCATCCCATTCTCTCTCTCTCTCTCTCTCCCTCCCTCCGTGTATCTTCACCTTGATTTTGAGGCGGTCCACGATGTCCTGGATGTCAGAGCAGGCCAAAGTCTCCCTGAAGCTGAGCTCTTTGGCAAAGTTGATCTTGTTGTTGAGCTCATGGAGCTGCTCAAGGAACTCCTGCTCCGTAACCGGGCTCTCCAGGATTATCCTGCAGAAGGACAAAAAGTGGGGAACACTTATTAGAATACATGCTTGCCCATAGGAACACTTACAACATCATAGAGACTCTGTCAAGTAACTTTCTCATTACAGACATCAATATGACATGTGCTCCCTACCCTCTTTCTATCTATATCTCCCATAACATATATACAGGTACATGTATTGTTACAAATCTGTATACAACACAAACACACACACACTCCCTTACTGGATCATAGCGCCGGGCACTACCAGCTCATCCACCAGTTGGCTGAGGTGGCTGCGTACGGCCTGCCTGTTCTTCAGCCGCACGTTCATGCTGACCGACTGCTGCTGCAGAGTCTGGATCTCACTGCTGATGGAGGAGAGGTCACTCTGGAAGCCGCTCAGCATGCCCTCCATTCGCTGGAGAGAGAGAGAGGGGAGGATAGAGAGAGGAGGGAGGTGGGAGAGAGAGAGAGAGAGAGAGAGAGAGAGAGAGAGAGAGAGAGAGAGAGAGAGAGAGAGAGAGAGAGAGAGAGAGAGAGAGAGAGAGAGCGAGGGGAGGAAAGAGAGAGGAGGGAGGTGGGAGAGAGAGAGAGAGAGATAGAGAGAGAGAGAGAGAGCGAGGGGAGGAAAGAGATTTATTATTGGCTTCATTATATATTTTTACATAGGAAATTGCAAAAGCATTCTTTCAGACCCTGCACATGCAAAAATGAGGATCCATTTAGAATGGACTTATGAAGCCACTTGATACTTTTGATTGAGGGCATCATCCACTCACCTCCAGTATGGAGTCACAGGCTGTGATCTGGTTGTGCAGAGAGGCAATGTTCTGGCTCTCCTTGATATCTGACACAAGCTTGGTCAAGGATTACCTATCATGGTGAACTACTGTATCTATCAGGAATTACCATAAATAATGCACTAATTCTTTCACACAATCATTCAACACATTAATCCATGAATGGATACAGTCTTTGATGGAAGCTTGTTCAATCCGTTGGAGTTCACCCTCCACTTGTTTAGAGTAATGCCTGAGGTCAACTCCCTGAAAAAAACAGAGATTCAGATTAAAGGAAACCATCAGTTGAAGGAATGTAGCCTTATTTACAATATATAAAATGAAAACAGAAAATAAAATTGAAACTGAAATGTGTTGACGTTTAGGGACATGCATGATGCAGCCATGGTCCATGGTTTTACCGTTTTCAGTGCCTCCTTCACCAAGTCATCTTCCAGATTAGCCTGTATGTGAACTGGGGGGGGGGGGGGGGGGGGTGTAAAGGAAAGTAGCTAGTTTAATCTCCATAAAGGTTGGTTCTTACATTTATCCAAAACACTGAACTAATTACCTAAATTACTATTTGGTTATGAACCAATTTGACCTGATGATATCACCATTACTTCATTCAAAAGACAATAATGCTGAAGGACTTACTGTCCACTTCATCCAAGATGAACTCGTCTGTGGTCAAGTCCAAGTCACCCAGGTTGAGAGGGGCCATGACATCTGTGTCAGGCTGCATCTGTTGCAGAATGACAGTAAATCAACATGGCTTTAATGTACTTTGTAATGGAAGATGGAACAATTCAATTAGTTAGCTAACTACTCCATAACTACCCGAGCCACGGCCTGTTCACCCCACTACCATCCAGAAGGCGATGTCAGTACAGGTGCATCAAAGATGGGACCGAGAGACTGAAAAATAGCTTCTATCAAAGCCATCAGAATGTTAAATAGCCATCACTAGCCGGCTACCACCCGGTTACTCAACCCTGCACCTTAGAGGCCGCTGCCCTATATACATAGACATGGAATCACTGGTCACTTTAATAATGGAACACTAGTCACTTTAATAATGTTTACATACTGTACTGCTTTACTCAATTCATATGTATATACTGTATTCTATTCTACTGTATTTTAGTCAATGCCACTCCGACATTGCTCATCCTAATATTTATATATTTCTTAATTCCATTATTTTACTTTATATGTGTGTATTGTTGTGAATTGTTAGATACTAGTGCACTGATGGAGCATTTCGCTACACTCGCAATAACATCTGCTAAATATGTGTATGTGACCAATACAATTTGATTGGATTTGAATAGGCCTTCTCCAATGTCGGTTTTAGACAGGTGATTTTTATGTTTCCACCTCTGAGGCCTGGCCCAAAAAAAGTCTAGGGCCCTGGCCTACTCTGACTTGGGGCCAGAGGGGACTTTTGAGGTATGAGTCACTTTAGCAGGTAGCATGCTAGTTCTGGTGCAGGAACAACATCGACTAGAGTTTTTAACTTGCTAACAAGCAATCAGTGACTCTGGCTAGCTAGCCTTGCATTTGATGCAATGCATCTCTGACGCAAACACAACAATAAGGCAAAACGACAACAAACACTACAGTTAATTTAAATAACGGTAGCTAGCTTGGATAGCTAGACAGATCAGATTGCCAGGATAGGAAGATCAGAAGATCTAGCTAGCTGGTGTTGTCGATGTAAAGAACACAGAGAGCAACAAAATTCAAACAGTCAAGTTATCATAAATATATCTGGTATGCCAGAAACATTATCTAACGTCACCTCATCTTGTAAATATGACATGGCATTCACCGTCGAGTTGACAGCTGTGTTTACATCGGACACAGCTCCAGTCACTGCTCCCTCCGCCATAGCCTCCAAACCTAAAAAAAACAAAAACACAAACGTAGTATGCTATTTCCTAATGTCCCCGGTATACGTGAGGAAAAACAATTAGTAAAGATAATTTTGAAATCTGTTGAAAATAAAGGTATGTATATGTTGAATACAATTATTATACAAATATACACTGTTTTAAATGTAATTTATATTGTATTTATTGGTATTTTGTTTAAAAAGCTATTTAATATCGGTTAATGTTCCTAGACGGACAAGTTACGCCGATGGAATCACTTCCTCAGGGAACTCTCGAAACGAAGGCAAAAGCCATCGCGAGAGCCTCGGAATTTCCTCTTTGAACGGAACCTGCTTCCAAGATGGTAAGTGCCGAATTGGACTATGAAGATTATTGTAAATATCTGCATTCATCGTCGCTTTTTGGGACAGTCTGTAAATTGTACAACTATGATATGATTGTTAACATTGTGTTTGAGAGTTTTTATCCTGTATTTATCATATTGAAGTTACATATATTGACACAAATGTACAGTTAACTGCCTATGCTGAAATGCCGATTTCGCGCCGACACTACGCTGCATGGAAGTACAGCTTTTGTCAATATAGGCTTTGGTTGTGGTGTTTTATTCGCAAAATAGTTTGTTGTAAACCTAAGTTTTGCACAATTTGTTGTGCTGGTGGTTGGTATTATTAACCAAGCAGTATTTAGCTGTCCATGTTAACTAGGTAAGCTGGTCTCATTGCTGTTAACGTTGTCTAATGCGAACTAATTTAGTAAGAACTCGCTACCGAGTTAGTTAACGTCAGTCCTCGTCACTACGGTAACAAGCTGGCCAGTTGGAGGCTGACATTTGACATTACGTGTTTAATTCAAGGCATTGGTTGTGGAAATACAAATGGTTAATACAGTCACACTGTTTGCTGGCTGGCTAGAAAGCCCACTGCCAGGCCTCAGGAAGCAACGATGTAGCTAGCTTGCTAACGTTAGCTAACTAAGTGAATCTCTGTATTCACCCTGTTTGTTATGTCATTTCTCTAGTCTCTGGTCATTCCTGAGAAGTTCCAGCACATCCTTCGTGTTCTCAACACGAACATTGATGGTAGGAGGAAGATTGCCTTCGCCATCACAGCCATTAAGGTAGCTATGCTTGTTAATGACTTTCTCAGGACCATGTAGAGATGTCTGCACAGTTGGCTAATGTGGGAATGAGACCTAAAGTAATGGTTCATGTGTATTTCCTTCACAGGGTGTTGGCAGGCGATATGCCCATGTTGTCCTGAGGAAGGCTGATATTGACCTCAGCAAGAGGGCTGGAGAACTTACTGATGATGAGGTGAGAAGAATGCAGAGGGCAGTTGTGGACATACCGTTTAGCTATACATGAAAGCTGTATGCATCAGTAGCTGTATTTACACCGCCAGCCCAATTCTGATCGAGTGGCGCAGTGCTAGCTGTGCCACTAGAGATCCTGGTTCGAGTCCAGGCTCTGTCGCAGCCGGCCGCGACCGGGAGACCCATGGGCGGCGCACAATTGGTCCAGCGTCGTCCAAGGTAGGGGAGGGTTTGGCCGGCAGGGATGTGGGTTTGTTTCCCACGGGGGGCCAGTATGGGAGAGAAGAGGGAAAAAAAGCATGTATGCATTCACTAACTGTAAGTCGCTCTGGATAAGAGCATCTGCTAAATGACTCAAATGTAAAAAATTGGTGTTTTGACCAATTGCATCAGATCTTTTTCAGAGCTGATCTGATTGGTCAAAAGACCAATTAGTGAAAAAAGGTCAGAATTGCACTGCCTGTGGAAACTCAGGCAGGGGGGATGAGGCTGGGATTCAAATAAACCACAGTGTGGGTTGTTTGACTCCAGGATGTGCACTCATTTCATGGATCATCTTGCATCACTCAATGAGTTATTGTGATGGTGGGGCCCAGTCATCTGCGAACTCAGTATGTGTTACATCAGTTAGTCTTTTTCTACCAAGCATCTCACTAATGTTGATGTATTTGTCCCCAGGTTGAGAGGGTAGTGACAATTATGCAGAATCCTCGCCAGTACAAAATCCCTGACTGGTTCCTCAACAGACAGAAGGACGTAAAGGATGGCAAGTACAGCCAGGTACGTGACTGAAGCAGACTTGCGGTGTCTGACTTATTTTCAAAATTGGAACTAAACTACATGAGTTTGTATTGACGTCGCATCTATTGGCTAAAGTAAACCTTTGTCTTCGTGGCACGGTCAATACAAATGTAGTACTTTTATTTCTGAAAGTTAAATATGTACAATTGTCTCAAGAGTCCAGCCTTACAATTGTTTGTATGTTGTAGGTCCTTGCTAACGGTCTGGACAACAAGCTGAGAGAGGATCTTGAGAGGCTGAAGAAGATCAGGGCTCACCGTGGACTCAGGCACTTCTGGGGGTAAGCGCTCTTCTGATGTCCAGCTATATTGCATGGCTGTTTTCTGTATTTTAATTACAACATATTTTTAAGGGGAAATCCCAATATTCTGCCAAAGGGCTGGTTTCCCAGACACATACTGCTTAGTTCTGGGTTGTTTGAGGGCACATGTAAAATGTAAGTTTGTTGGATGAGTTCAATCCCTATATTTGGACAGTTTCCTATCATTTTGTGCTTACTGGACACAGCCCTGGACTAAAGCATTTAATAGATAGTATGCTTGGAATCTCCTTTTGAATATGTTCTATGTAACATCTGATCCTAAACAATATGTAGATTGATCTCTGTACTGCTGAGATGTATCAAGGAGGCATTTAGCCAACTTATTTTGTAGTCAATTGCAGTAACTCTGTGTAGCACAAGTTCCTTAAGTGCTTATTGTAAGCATACCAATTATGGTATAATGGTAGGCACATTTGTCAACTTCTGCTGTCGGTGTGATCAAATCATTTTGTCCTACAAAGACTAGTAAATTCCATTAGTATGGGATTTTCCTTACATGTTGAATTTCTGGATACATTTGTAATGACTGACTGTTTGCTGTCCCTCTCTTTCAGTCTACGTGTACGTGGCCAGCACACAAAGACCACCGGTCGTCGTGGTCGCACTGTTGGTGTGTCCAAGAAGAAGTAAAGTCTCCCTGCTCCCCATGTGTCAATAAATGCACAGTTCATATATTTGATTGTTTGGTTGTCTCTTTATACTGGGTTGTTGTAGTTGCATAGTCTACTCAGATCGGAGCCTCAAGGTCAGCAAGACTTCTTGGTCTGAGATTTCACTCACCTGGGCCGCATTCTGTAGGCAAAGGTTGTGGAAATGTCATGAATGGAACTCGTGACTCCTTATTGTACCGTGTCAATTTATCAATGTTCCACAATGTTGTGCCCAAGTCTAAATCGATCCTTAAGAGGGGACTGAGTACTGTAAACAGACCAAGTCCAGGATTTGAAGACTATACTATACTCATTCATATACAATGTGGTATGATTTTGAAAAGGTTGTCAACAGGACCAGGGGAATTAGTCAGAAGTCCTAGGAGGAGCTCATAAGTTCAGTTGCAACCTGTTTAATTGTAATAGTATGTAGAATTGCATGCTGCACTGTTGACCTTGGTGTTACACATGGATTGTTCTCATAACATGCAACCAAGATTCATTGAATTGATTCACGAAGTAAATTGGCCTGTCAAATCGGTCATAACACCACAGCACCAGTTTCATATCAATGCAATCCTTGCAGTTTTATTGTGCTGACTGGATCTTAAGGCTCTGAAACAAAGGAATTGCAATATAACAAGCTGAGTAAGTTCCAAATGGGATATTGCTTTAATTGTACAAAGATCATAGAAAAGCTGAGGTAAAAGAACCCATATGCCAGCAGAACAAAGTGCATCAGGTAAGACATGATAAAGGTAGTGAAAGCTGTGAAACTAGCATTAGGATAAACTCCACTGACCATTATTACTTGACATTCTCCATAAGCAGCATAGGTCTTCAAGAAATTAAATACCTTTGATAAATAATCATTAATTTCAAAGCAAGCCTAGAACAGTCTTAATCTACTGCTATATAGCAGTTTTCTTGCATAATATTCAATTCAACAATCCTTTGACCACTGGTCATCCCCAAATCTCAAAGAAAAAGGTTAATCTCCACAGCATTTTCTAATGTAAAATCCTCACGCTAATCTGAAATGATGTATTGACAGAATATGGCGCAATGTCAAGCATCAATACTTTGTGGTCTGTGGTTTGAAAGAAGGCTGGACTACGTATGTGTTGTCTGGCAGTGAGTGCACCAGTCCAGACCGCATTTTCAGTTAACCGTTAGATGAAGGAAAAAAGGATGACACAGATCTGATTTGTAGGAATTCTAAAAACAACTTCACACTCAGGTTTGATTTGAAGCTACTGAAAACAGAAAAATGTCAGATTCTGAGGACAAAGTTTAAGACCTTCAGCAATCTATGGAATGTTCCCAATGACTACCTTCGAAGCAGCTACATGTAACACACAAATCTTAGTCTCTCCAACACATGATCAGTAGGCGGTCAGAGACAGGGAGTGATAAAGGCTGAAGAGGGAGGGCTCCTCACCCCTCTTTGGACTGTGGGGACTTTGGCTGGGATGGTTGAGGCTGTTGGTCCTTGGTGGGTGCATAGTAGAGCTCCAGAGGCTTTCTGACCTTCCAGTACTTCTCATTCACCAGCTCCAGAGTCAGGGAGCCGTTCAGAGTCTGAGGTAGAGAGAATGAAAGAAACGTGAGCCAGAGGAACAAGTCAAAGGAATGCTAGGAATAAAACAAAGCAATGGATGAGGTTGAAAGTAGAGCAGAGAGAGATAAAAAGGACAGATATGAGACCGAAGTATGAGAAGGGGTCAAATACATTTAAATAATTCACTGATAATAGCTCCCACCCTGAAAAAAGATGACTGATAAGCTTGTGTACTCACAGAGAACTGGCCCCCTGACGTTGTGATGTAGATGGTGTATTGTTTCTCACTGATATTCTTCAGGCTGGCCCCTTCTCCTGCTGCTACTTCCTCTCCTTTAGCCCCCCCCTCTTTCCCTTTCTCCGTCCCTGCATCTGATTGGCTGTCTCCTTGTTTGTCCTCCAAAGCGATACGCAGAGCCAGGTACTTAGACAGGTGGTCCACTGTTGCATTGGCTGTGGTCTTCACATATCTGAGAGGAATGAGTGTCAATAAAAACAAAACAATTAAAAAGACCCTTCAAGAATACATTCCGAATTGAAATGTCCATAATTTGCAATAATTTATAACAGAACACCTCATAGCTGCATAACCACCCACCCCTCACCTGGTCTGGCTGTAGTCCTGTGTGTTGACCAGCAGGGGGTGTGGGCGGAACACCAGCTCTATCTCCAAGCCGGGGCCCTCTTTGTGGCGGCGGAGCGGGGGCGTGGGGCTGCCCCCATCCACCTCCGGGCCCGACCCGTCCGACACCCTGAGCCGCTTGGGGTTCCGGCTGGGCCCGGCTTCGGAGGGCGTGTGGCTTGGGGGGAGTGGCGCGAGGGAGGGAGCGGAGTCATGGGAGAGGTGTGAGCGTGCTTCCCCGTTGTCCTCGCCGCCGCTGAAGGTTGTGTTGTCGCTCTCCTGCGCCGGTTTGCGCACTCGCTGGGCTCTGGGGGGTCAAGGGTGAGCAGAGCGCGAGAAGCCATTTTATAATAATAATAATATTTTACACTTCCAATCCTCAATAAAAGGAGGATCTTTCCCTGACTTGTGCAGTGTTGTTCGTTTGTCCACATACTACGTCTGACAACTCTCTCCTGATTCCAAGAATCTTTCAACTGGGATTTCTGGGAAACCTATAAACCCTACTCCCCATCCCCTCTCATCTCCTACCTGTGAAGCGCCTGCATGCGCAGCCCCTCCTCGATGCTGGAGCTGAGCGCCTGCTTATTGTGCAGCCGGTTGAGTCTCTCCAGCACCCGGTCCTGGTGGGCCTCGTACTCGTCCCGGCTGGGGTAGATCTTGGAGATAAGGGCGTCGAAATTGGAGTCGCGCCGCAACGAGCGTCTCGACACCAGCTTCTTTCGGCACGTGGGGCATTCCTTGTTCCTGAGGAGGAGGAATGAAGGTGAGTTAAAGAGAAGCTTTCATTTCATAACCTTTAATATGGAGGTTATCTTCAGATTTAAACTGGAGCACACTCCAGAGTAGAGAGAATGAAGGGTCATCCTCAAATCGTTACAGCTGTGTGTGTGTCCCTCACCCTGATCGGAGTGCAGTGACAATGCAGTCGGAGCAGAAGCGGTGGAGGCACTCCTTAGTGGTCATGGTGTTCTTCAGCATGTCCAGACAGATGGGGCACATCAGCTCACTGTGGAGGCTCCTGGGGGACACCGCTATCTCTGTGCCGTCCATGATCGCCTCCTACAGGCAGGGAGGGGAATGTGTCAGACAATACAGGTAACGCTATGGCCCATCCATGTCCTTCAAGGGTCAGCTTTAAACTGATTGACCATGGCTGGTTTCAAATGCACACAAAAAAGCATCCTTCCTTCCATGGAACTTTCACAAGTAGGTGAGATCAATGCTTCCACAGTTCCTCACACCAATTTTTGTTATCTGAGAAACTATAAATGGACTGCACTGTTTTTTGGGCATGCAATACAATGCTGTTATATCACTTCTCACCTGGATGCATTTGTAATTTAAGTATTTATATATGTGGAACGTGACTATCATTACCTGTGGGCTCCTGTGCAGCTCATACAAGCTCAGCTCCCACGTCTTACTGGGGTTTTGGACGTTGACTGGAGTCGCCATTTTGTGTTTTAAAAACCCCTAATCTATGGAAACGCATGACACACGTTGAAGAGAAATGTTACACACATTACAATTACTTTTAAGTAATTAGGCCTACATAGACTGTGAGAGAAGATCTGTGTATAGGTTAGATTGCAGTTGATAGCATTACAACTGAGCAACCCAGTTTGACAGCTGTTAAGACAAGTGAAGAATGAGACTGAAGTCTTTGGGCACACAGGTAATAATTATGCAGTAAAAACACAAGGGAAGATGTTTTGGGATAGCTAGCTAGTTATTCTAAAAACAGTAAAATGTCAAAGCAACACAGTTGCGAGCCTAGGTCCATCTCATTACACTCTCCTTGACATGTCATGCACATTGTCCTCCTTTGTTGTATCGTAACTAGCTAACTACTTTTCTAAACGTATTTTGTCACAATGACATGCATTAAGCAAACTGTCAGACTTCGGTGGAATCGTAATGCCACACTAGTGTCATGCTATCCCTGTGTAGCTAGCGTACCAAAAAAAAAGGTGACTTGCTGTCTAATTAGTTAGGGGGACTAGCTAGCCTAGTTAGTTGCTACTTACCAAGGAATTTGAAGGACAGCTGGCCGGTGTGGCTAGGCTAGCAGCACAACTAGCTAGCTTGTTATGGACACTAGATTGTAACGATATACTTCCAAGCTCGTGCCAATGCTAGGCTGGACAATAGAACGAGTCAAAATTCACCCAAGGCTGAAAAACGGCAATAGAACGTTGGCTAAGCTGAAACACTAGCGCGAGCCCATAGCAAATGAATTGAATCGAACGTTCGCAGAGCCTATTTTGATTGGAATGATGCTTAGAATTCAATTTTGCCTAAATGGCACACAAAAAATGTATCCCTTTTCATATCACCACTACAATCTGTTCTTAGGACGAAAAAAAAAAAACTAGTGTAGAAAGTAAACATCCGCACCTCGATGGTGTCAACAGTGCTTATGTCTGCGTAATGAGGAAGTATGGAACAAATGAAAGCTTCTGACTATTTCTGGTCTAGTGATGGATGACAACCGAGCTCGCTGCCCAGACTTACATAATTACAAAGAGGAGATTCTCCTGATTAAAATGGTGTCCGACTTGAAAAAAATAAAAATATACACATTGAGAGATATTTGGCGAAATAGACCTGCATGCTTCTCCATAGGAAAACAATGGGCTGAGCTCAGGGTTCCAAGGCAAACATTATTTTGGGGCTAGCATTTCATGACAACCGAGCTCGCTGCCCAGACTTACATAATTACAAAGGGGAGATTCTCATGATTAAATTGGTGCCCGACTTGAAAAAATCAAAATATACACATTGCGAAATAGACAGACATACCTATATTTCCCCTATAGAAAACAATGGGCCGACCTCAAGAGTACCATGAATAATTTGTTGTTGTTGTTGACGTTTTAACTACCAGCGTGGGCAGGTCTCATTGCCAACAATAGCGAAGCAGATAAATAGCTGTCTGATAGCTACCGCTGGTGGTTATTTGGGGGTTATGCGCGCACCAATACTGTCCTAAAGACTGTACCAAAGCATGTTCTCTTGTATGGGGTACATTTCTTACCTTTTCCATTCTATATTTCTAAGAAACACTTATACAATTTTAAATAAGTCTGTCTTTCAAATGCAGATCAAGTGCACTTGGACATCTTGAAGCCCACAAAGTTTGTGGGGGAGAGAGAGAGGGAGAAATTGGAGGGGGAGAGAGATAAAAGTGGAGAGAGAGAGAGAGGGAAAGGAAGGGGAGATGTCAAGACAGATAGGGCTGAGAGAAAGGGTTGCCTGATTGACAGTTATAACACTCATGTCAACTGAATATACGTTGTCACAACTGACTTCTCACAAATGATGCCATTATAACCAGTGTTTATATGTCAAATAATACATAATATTTTTATGGTGCTTTTCTCAGACCCAAAGACTCAAATGCTTTATTCATGTCTATGGTCCTGATACTTCTCTGTGAATAGATTTTCAAATCAAATCAAATGTTATTTGTCACATACGCCGAATACAGCAGGTATTACCTTACAGTGAAATGTAAGTACGTTTTTTTCAAAGTAAGTAAGAAAAATTTGCTAAATAAACTATTGGAGAAATAGTAACACAATAAAATAACAATAAAGAGGCTATATACAAGGGGTACCGGTATCGAGTCAATGTGCTGGGGTACAGGGTAGTCGAGGTAATTGAGGTAATATGTACATGTAGGTAGGTGTAAAGTAACTATGCATAGATAATAAACAGAGAGTAGCAGCAGCATGTGTGAAGAGTGTGAAGGAATATGAATGTGTGTGTGTGTGTGGCGTCAATATGCATGTGTGTGTTTTGTGTGTGTGTGTGTGTGTGTGTCAGTGTAGTATGTGTGGGTGTGTGGTTAGAGTCCAGTGAGTGTACATTGAGCCAGTGCAAAAAATTATAATAAGATAACTTTTCAGCAGTCTTATGGCTTGGGGGTAGAAGCTGTTATTAAGGAGCCTCCAGTACCGAGGCTCCAGTACCGCTGAAGTCTTTGACTATTTCTAGGGCCTTCCTCTGACACCGCCTGGTATAGATGTCCTGGATGGCAGGGAGCTCGGCCCCAGTGATGTACTGGGCCGCACTCACTACACTTTGTAGCGCCTTGCGGTCAGATGCCGAGCAGTTGCCATACCAAGCGGTGATGCAACCAGTCAGGATGCTCTTGATGGTGCAGCTGTAGAACTTTTTGAGGATCTGTGGCCCCATGCCAAATCTCTTCAGCCTCCTGCAGGGGAATAGGCGTTGTCTTGTCCTCTTCACGACTGTGTCAGTGTTTTTGGACCATTATAGGTTCTTACTAAGAACTTCTTAGCGATGTGGACACCAAGGAATTTGAAGCTCTTGACCTTCTCCACTACAGCCCTGTCAATGTGAATGGAGGCATGCTCAACCCTCCTTTTTCTGTAGTCCACGATCAGCTCCTTTGTCTTGCTCATGTTGAGGGAGAAGTTGTTGTCCTGGCACCACATTGCCAGGTCTCTTTATAGATGCTGCGTTCAAAACGACTGGGAACTCGGAAATCTCTCCTATGGGAAAAATTAATAGGAATTTGGAATAAACGCCTAAAATAAGTTCTGAGGGTAACACAGGCTTAGGAGATCAACGTTTTGTTCTATGATAAAATAGCAGTCAGTTAACATGACCTTTATGAATTATGAAGCATTTGTGTGCTTTTTTAAATTACATAAATTATTAAAAATTCACAAAAAGTTAGGCTACGTTAGTTGATGAAGATAATCTCATAGAACAGAACGTAAGATCTCCTAAACCTGTGTTTACCACAGACCTTATTTTCGGCATTTATCCAAAAACCTTACAAAAACGTCATTCATTTTCCCCATAGGCTTTGTCCGACGACCTGAATATCACTGATATCACGGTTTCCCAGTTGTTCTGACCGCGGCATATGCTCTGCGATGGTCTCAAAAAGTAACAGAGACCTTTAGCAGAAACAGAGTAGGGTACAATTTGAACACGGCTTTGCTTTGAACCTAGTTTATTTCAAAGTATTTTTTCAGTCATCCATCTGTCACCCTATGGACTGCCCTTTTTCCTTTACCAACCGTTTTTGAACATCAACATCAAGTGACCTGACTTTACTTTCAATTTCGATCATAACCTTGAATACTTTCCTACGCCTTATAAATTGGCTCTGCCAGGACAACAACGTATTTTCAGTGGTTGTTTCCTTAGCTGTTCTGAAACTTGGTGGAACAAATCAGTAATGTAGGCAAATTAAATTGTAATACATTACTGCATTAGTTACAGACAGTTCCTGAATTCGGAAAACGTTCAAGTAAGCTAAGGAAAACCAGACTCATCAGCGCCATGAAGATGTATTTGATTCTCCTCTTTGGTATTCATGGAGCTTTAGCAGGTCAGTCATTTCCACATTATTGTTTAGTATCTTTTAATTATTGGATTATTTTTTTGTAGGCTATATACACGTGACATTTAAACGCTGATGTTTTATTGTTTCAAATGAAAAACATGACAATTCGGCCGCCAACGGCCTTAGAATAAACAGACAAGACGAGTAGACAATTAGAATAGAATAACAGCATCCCTCGATAAAACAAACACATTGCAGTAAGGAAAAGTGTTGATTACACTATATGTCCAACAAGGTGGGCTCTTGATTGGAGGTAGGCTGTCCCCTGTGAGAAGTGAAATCGTGTGCTGTAATGGCTGTGAAGTGCCGATATTAACCTTAAGTATTACGTTTGCCCTGGTGTTAGGTGACGCAGTCTGTTCTATGTTCCTATAGGCCAGGGATGGGCAACTTTGATGGGGTCAAAAATCAATGGGGGGTGGGGGGGCCACGGCGGGCGGTAAATCAACCATGATTAATAGTTTAGATAGCTGGCTGATAGACTAATTTACCAATCTAAAAATCTTTAGCTGACATGGGCTAATTGAGCGACTATCAGTGACTGCCATAACAAGAGAAAACTGCTGATGCACAACCAAATTTCGAAATTGCACCTTGTGTATTCTACTATTCGAACTAGCAACAGTAAGTTGAGACCCTACAGTTATTGATCCAAGGGCCTTCAAAAGGGGCCGCCAGTTGCCTAAACGATATATTTTTGAATGTCATAGTGTACTTACATAATGAACCCCCTAGACTAGTGATGTATGTTGTTACATGTTTTTTATTTATTTGATTCATAGCAGTTGGCAATGAAGTACAGTGTATTTTAGTTTTTTTGTTGTAGATGTTTTAGATTTTATTAGGATTCCCACTAGCCGACGCCAATGGCGACAGCTTGTCTTACTGGGGTCTGACTGATAATGAAAAAGACATTACAGACCAAATACTTTAGAATTTACATACATTTAAAACATTAACATGCAGTGTGCCTGTGTGTGTGCATCTATCAGTTACAAATACATGTCAGTATATGCACAGAAAAAGTAGGTCACATGGGGGAGTTGCTATTTTATTTATTTTTTAAACCAGGTTTGCTGTTCACATGCGCTATATGAGATTGAAGGGAGGTCCATGCAATTATTTTTCTCTGTATAATACTGTACGTTTCCTTGAATTTGTTCTGGACCTGGGGACTGAAAAGACCCCTGGTGGCATGTCTGGTGGGGTGTGCGTGTGTGTCAGTACTGTGTGTAAGTTAACTATGCAAACAATTTTGAATTTTCAACACATTGTTTCTTATAAAAACAAGAAGTGATGCATTCAGTCTTTCCTCAACTCTTAGCCAAGAGAGACTGGCATGATATTTGGCATGATATTAGCCCTCTGATTACAAAACATGCCACTCTGTTCTGGGCAAACTGCAGTTTAACTAGGTCCTTTGCAGCATTTGACCATATGACTGGACAATAATCAAGATAAGATTAAACTAAAGCCTGCAGGACTTGCTTTGTGTAGTGTCAAAAAAGCAGAGCATCTCTTTATTACAGGCAGACCTCTCCCCATCTTTACCACCATTGATTCTACACTGAACAAAAATGTAACCACAACATGTAACAATTTAAAATATTTTACTGAGTGACAGTTCATATAAGGAAATCATTCAATTGAAATAAATTCATTAGGCCCTAATCTATGGATTTCACATGACTGGTAATACAGATATGCATCTGTTGATCACAGATACATAAAATAAAATAAAGTAGGGGCATGGATCAGAAAACCAGTCAGTATCTGGTGTGACCACCATTTGCCTCATGCAGCGCGACATATATCCTTTGCATAGAGTTGATCAGGCTGTTGATTGTGGCCTGTGGAATGTTGTCTCACTCCTCTTCAATGGCTGTGCGAAGTTGCTGGATATTGGTGGGAACTGGAACAAGCTGTCCTACACGTCGATCCAGAGCATCCCAAAAATGCTCAATGTGTGACATGTCTGGTGAGTATGCAGGCCATGGAAGAACTGGGATATTTTCAGCTTCCAGGAATTGTGTACATATCCTTGCGACATGGGGCTGTGCATTATCATGCTGAAACATGAGGTGATGGCGGTGGATGAATGGCATGACAATGTGCCTCAGGATCTCGTCACGGTATCGCTGTGCATTCAAATTTCCATCAATAAAATGCAATTGGCTTCGTTGTCCGTAGTGTATGCCTGCCGATATCATAACCCTACCACCACCATGGGGCACTCTGTTCACAGCGTTGACATAATCAAACCGCTCGCCCACACGACACCATCTGTCCAGTACAGTTGAAGCCGGGATTTATTCATGAAGAGCAAACTTCTCCAGCGTGCCAATGGCCATCGAAGGTGAGCATTTGCCCACTGAAGTCGGTTACGACGCCGAACTGCAGTCAGGTCAAGACCCTGGTGAGGACGACGAGCACGCAGATGAGCTTCCCTGAGACGGTTCTTGACAGTTTGTGCAGAAATTCTTCGGTTGTACAAACCCACAGTTTCATCAGCTGTCCGAGTGGCTGGTCTCAGACGATCCCGTAGGTGAAGAAGCTGGATGTGGAGGTCCCGGGCTGGCGTGGTTACACGTGGTCTGCGGTTGTGAGGCCGGTTGGACGTACTGCCAAATTCTCTAAAACGACGTTGGAGGCGGCTAATGGTAGAGAAATTAACATTACATTCTCTGGCAACAGCTCAGGTAGACATTCCTGCAGTCAGCATGCCAATTGCACCCTCCATCAAAACTTGAGACATCTGTGGCATTGTATTGTGTGACAAAACTGCACATTTTAGAGTTACCTTTTATTGTCCCCAGCACAAGGTGCACCTGTGTAATTATCATGCTGTTTAATCAGCTTCTTGATATGCCACACATGTCAGGTGGATGGATTATCTTGGCAAAGGAGAAGTGCTCACGAACAGGGATGTAAACAAATGTGTGCACAAAATATGAGAGAAATAAGCATTTTGTGCATATGAAACATTTCTGGTATCTTTTATTTCAGCTCATGAAACATGGGACCAACACTTTACATGTTGCGTTTATATTTTAGTTCAGTATATATGTTTTGACCATGACAGTTTACAGTCTAAGGTAACGCCAAGTAATTTAGTATTTTCGACTTGCTAAACAGCCACACCATTCATTACCAGATTCAGCTGAGGTCTATAACTTAGGGAATGATTTGTACCAAATACAATACTCTTAGTTTTAGAGATATTCAGGACTAGCGGCCAGCCATTCTAAACTGACAGAAACTCTTTGTTTAGGGTTGCAGTGACTTCACTAGCTGTGGTTGCTGACACGTATAGTGTTGAATCAACAGCATACATGGACACACAGGCTTTGTTTAATGCCAGTGTCAGGTCATTGGTAAAAAAAAAAATAGAAAAGAGTAGATGGCCAAGAGAGCTGCCCTGCGGTACACCACACTTTACATGTTTAACATTAGAGAAGCTTCCATAAAAATAAAAAAAACGGTGTTCAATTAGGTAGATGGCTCTGAATCCACGATATGGCAGAGGTTGAAAAGCCATAACACACATTTTTTTCCACAACAGGTTATGGTCAAATCTTTTAAAAAATCTAAGAGTACAGCTCCCACAATCTTCTATTATCAATTTCTTTCCACCTATCATTAGTAATTTGTGTCAGTGCAGTACATGTTGAGCGCCCTTCTCTATAGGTTCTGTATAGGTTTGATCAAACACGTTAATAAAAACAGACATCTGCTGTAGGAAAACATGTTACAGTTGAAGTCGGAAGTTTACATACACTTAGGTTGGAGTCATTAAAACTCGTTTTTCAACCACTCCACATATTTCTTGTTAACAAATTATAGTTTTGGCAAGTCGGTTAGGACATCTACTTTGTGCATGACACAAGTAATTTTTCGAACAATTGTTTACAGACAGATTATTTCACGTATAATTCACTGTATCACTATTCCAGTGGGTCAGAAGTTTACATACACTAAGTTGACTGTGCCTTTAAACAGCTTGGAAAATTCCAGAAAATGATGTCATGGCTTTAGAAGCTTCTGATAGGCTAATTGACATCATTTGAGTCAATTGGAGGTGTACCTGTGGATGTACACTGCTCAAAAAAATAAAGGGAACACTTAAACAACACATCCTAGATCTGAATGAATGAAATAATCTTATTAAATATTTTTTTCTTTACATAGTTGAATGTGCTGACAACAAAATCACACAAAAATTATATCAATGGAAATAACATTTATCAACCCATGGAGGTCTGGATTTGGAGTCACCCTCAAAATTAAAGTGGAAAACCACACTACAGGCTGATCCAACTTTGATGTAATGTCCTTAAAACAAGTCAAAATGAGGCTCAGTAGTGTGTGTGGCCTCCACGTGCCTGTATGACCTCCCTACAACGCCTGGGCATGCTCCTGATGAGGTGGTGGATGGTCTCCTGAGGGATCTCCTCCCAGACCTGGACTAAAGCATCCGCCAACTCCTGGACAGTCTGTGGTGCAACGTGGCGTTGGTGGATGGAGCGAGACATGATGTCTCAGATGTGCTCAATTGGATTCAGGTCTGGGGAACGAGCGGGCCAGTCTATAGCATCAATGCCTTCCTCTTGCAGAAACTGCTGACACACTCCAGCCACATGAGGTCTAGCATTGTCTTGCATTAGGAGGAACCCAGGGCCAACCGCACCAGCATATGGTCTCACAAGGGGTCTGAGGATCTCATCTCGGTACCTAATGGCAGTCAGGCTACCTCTGGCGAGCACATGGAGGGCTGTGCGGCCCCCCAAAGAAATTCCACCCCACACCATGACTGACCCACCGCCAAACCGGTCATGCTGGAGGATGTTGCAGGCAGCAGAACGTTCTCCACGGCGTCTCCAGACTCTGTCACGTCTGTCACGTGCTCAGTGTGAACCTGCTTTCATCTGTGAAGAGCACAGGGCGCCAGTGGCGAATTTGCCAATCTTGGTGTTCTCTGGCAAATGCCAAACGTCCTGCACGGTGTTGGGCTGTAAGCACAACCCCCACCTGTGGACGTCGGGCCCTCATACCACCCTCATGAAGTCTGTTTCTGACCGTTTGAGCAGACACATGCACATTTGTGGCCTGCTGGAGGTCATTTTGCAGGGCTCTGGCAGTGCTCCTCCTGCTCCTCCTTGCACAAAGGCGGAGGTAGCGGTCCTGCTGCTGGGTTGTTGCCCTCCTACGGCCTCCTCCACGTCTCCTGATGTACTGGCCTGTCTCCTGGTAGCGCCTCCATGCTCTGGACACTACGCTGACAGACACAGCAAACCTTCTTGCCACAGCTCGCATTGATGTGCCATCCTGGATGAGCTGCACTACCTGAGCCACTTGTGTGGGTTGTAGACTCCGTCTCATGCTACCACTAGAGTGAAAACACCGCCAGCATTCAAAAGTGACCAAAACATCAGCCAGGAAGCATAGGAACTGAGAAGTGGTCTGTGATCACCACCTGCAGAACCACTTCTTTATTGGGGATGTCTTGCTAATTGCCTATAATTTCCACCTGTTGTCTATTCCATTTGAACAACAGCATGTGAAATTTATTGTCAATCAGTGTTGCTTCCTAAGTGGACAGTTTGATTTCACAGAAGTGTGATTGACTTGGAGTTACATTGTGTTGTTTGTGTTCCCTTGATCAGTGTATTTCAAGGCCTACCTTCAAACTCAGTGCCTCTTTGCTTGACATCATGGGAAAATCAAAAGAAATCAGCCAAGACCTCAGAAAAGAAATTGTAGACCTCCACAAGTCTGGTTCATCCTTGGGAGCAATTTCCAAATGCCTGAAGGTACCACGTTCATCTGTACAAACAATAGTACGCAAGTATAAACACCATGGGACCACACAGCCGTCATACCGCTCAGGAAGGAGACGCGTTCTGTCTCCTAGAGATGAACGTACTTTGGTGCGAAAAGTGCAAATCAATCCCAGAACAACAGCAAAGGACCTTGTGAAGAGGCTGGAGGAAACAGGTACAAATGTATCTATATCCACAGTAAAACAAGTCCTATATCGACATAACCTGAAAGGCCGCTCAGCAAGGAAGAAGCCACTACTCCAAAACCGCCATAAAAAAGCCAGGCTATGGTTTGCAACTGCACATGGGGACAAAGATTGTACTTTATGGAGAAATGTCCTCTGGTCTGATGAAACAAAAATAGAACTGTTTGGCCATAATGACCATTGTTATGTTTGGAGGAAAAAGGGGGATGCTTGCAAGCCGAAGAACACCATCCCAACCGTGAAGCACCGGGCAGGCGGCATCATGCTGTGGGGGTGCTTTGCTGCAGGAGGGACTGGTGCACTTCACAAAATAGATGGCATCATGAGGAAGGAAAATTATGTGGATATATTGAAGCAACATCTCAAGACATCAGTCAGGAAGTTAAAGCTTGGTCGCAAATGGGTCTTCCAAATGGACAATGACCCCAAGCATACTTCCAAAGTTGTGGCAAAATGGCTTAAGGACAACAAAGTCAAGGTATTAAGGATCACAAAGCCCTGACCTCAATCCTATAGAAAATGTGTTGGCATAACTGAAAAGGCGTGTGCGAGCAAGGAGGCCTACAAACCTGACTCAGTTACACCAGCTCTGTCAGGAGGAATGTGCCAAAATTCACCCAACTTATTGTGGGAAGCTTGTGGAAGGCTACCCAAAACGTTTGACCCAAGTTAAACAATTTAAAGGCAATACTACCAAATACTAATTGATTGTATGTAAACTTCTGACCCACTGGGAATGTGATTAAATAAATAAAAGCTGAAATAAATAATTATCTCTACTATTATTCGGACATTTCACATTCTTAAAATAAAGTGTTGATCCTAACTGACCTAAGACAGGGAATCTTTACTAGGATTAAATGTCAGGAATTGTGAAAAACTGAGTTTAAATGTATTTGGCTAAGGTGTATGTAAACCTCAGACTTAAACTGTATTTATAACCTCAATAAGTTTGCATGTCATAGTCATGCTTGTAGTATGTTGGTACTCCAGAAATACGGGGATGTTCTGATTGATTGATTTATTGATTGAGGAAGATTTAGGTTTGTTTGATAAAGTGATGCCATAATATCAACAAAGGATAGCTAGCTCTAACATCGTTATTGCTTCTCTTATAGGCGTCCGCATGCTTCCCATCCGAAACAGTTTGTGTATATATTATGATGACATCTTGAGATGTTTTTGCTTGGGCAAGTGTTTTTTCGGCTGTTCATGCACACAATTTTTTCGAGGCAAGCCGGTGTTCGGTAGGTGAAGGCTACGCCCCTTTGTCTGTGATTGGTCAACAGTAGGGATTCTTCAATGAAGTGTTTGTTTTCATTCAATGAGAGATTACCTGTTTTCATGCACACATTTTTTCACTTGAGAAATACTGCACCAAACATCTTAGTTAGTTGTTAAATTGTGCGATTAAGATCTCCTCGGCAAAAACGTCAAAATGAATGTACTGGATACAGCATCTCAAGATGGACCAACAGCACTATTGCCACGTTTTTCTACTTTTTCATGCGAAGGTCTTTTAAGGGAGTATGCGAGGCACAGATGTTCACTTAGCCTAGCAGAGATTGCTTTTGGTCCTTTAAAAAAAACATGCAGTGGCAGCCACGATTTAGCAGCAGCCATGTGCTGCTGCTAAATGCATAAAGGGGAAGCACTCTTTAACATTACATGTGCAGTACCTTAACGTACCTTATCTCTGTTACAGTGACCCATTCCCTGCGTTACTTCAACGCAGCCTCCTCAGGAATTCTAAACGTCCCAGAGTTTGTGGAAATGGGGATGGTGAATGATCAGGTCATTAGCCACTATGACAGCATCACGAAGATTAAGGTCCCCAAGCAGAGCTGGATGAAGGAGTATTTTAACAAGCAATACTGGGATAGCACCACAGAGAACTTGAGATACGCAGAGGAAGTTTCCAAAGTCAACATTCAGACAGCACAGATGCGTTTCAATCAAACAGGAGGTGAGCTTCAGAGACCTCAGTCTGTGTGATTGTACTGTTTGACTACATTTTGATAACAAATTTGATATTGAAATTACTCCAAGCAAAAGCCGTATGGTTTTGTGTGTGTTCAATGTGAGTGCTGTGTAAAGAAAGTTCATGTTGGTATGTCAGTGTTCCTAACAATGTAATCTCTCTCTCTCTCTCAGGCATGCACATTAACCAGGACATGTATGGCTGTGTGTGGGATGATGAGACAGGATTCACAGATGGGTTTCACCATATTGGATATGATGGAATAGACCTCCTGGCATTTGACCTGAAGACAGAGACATGGATTGCCGCAGTCCCGCAGGCATTCAACTCCAAACTTAAGTGGGAAAGTAACCCTTCTAACATTGAGAGGGAGAAACTCTACCTCACCCAGGAGTGCATTGAGTGGCTGAAGAAGTATCTGGACTATGGGAAGACTACTCTGCAGAGGACAGGTACAGAGACACAGGAGATTATGAATTTACTCCACAGGCAGAATACTGATGTGAAATTGTATATTTTCTTTTACATTTCCATACTGCATGTCATATTCAAGTTTAGTTTTTTTTATCTCCTGCTGTTCCACTCCCTGTACTTGTTTCTCTCATCACTATGCCTGTATGTCTCTCTTCCCTCCCCTCTCTCTATTTTACTCTCTCTCTCCAGTCCCTCCCTCAGTGTCTCTGCTCCAGAAGACCCCCTCCTCTCCAGTGACCTGCCACGCTACAGGTTTCTACCCCAGTGGAGTCATGGTGTTCTGGCAGAAAGACGGACAAGATCAGCATGAAGATGTGGAGAATGGAGAGATTCTCCGCAACGATGATGGAACCTTCCAGAAAAGCGTCCACCTCACAGTGACGTCTAAGGAGAGGAAGAACAACAAGTATCAGTGTGTGGTTCAGGTCGCTGGTATCAAGGAGGACTTCATCAAGGTTCTGACTGAGTCTGAGATCCAGACCAACTGGGGTAAGAGGGAGAAAGATTCAAATATACCCTATACCCAACCCTCCTACTGAATGTGCCCAATATTCCTCATTTAAGTTCACTCATCTGCTTAGTAAACCTACCTTTTATGACTGCATGTTCTCATTGACCTCCTAACCTTTTATTGACATTGAGGGATGCTGCTTGGAGTTCATTTGAGATGGAAATGTACCATCTAGCACTGTAGTCTGAATGCTCTATTCTGATGATTACAGGTGCAAATGACCCAAACACCACTGGCTCCGCCCTCATCATTGGAGTGGTTGTAGCTCTCCTGGCCATTGTTGCTGTTGTTGTTGGGGTCGTCATTTGGAAGAAGAAGAGCAAGAAAGGTGTGAGGAGAGAAATACCTCTTTCTATTATCATATGTAGGATACACTGTCATCTTAGATATTATCAGAAGTGTTTTAGTTAGTAGTTTAGAAGTAGTAGTCGTAGTACTGGTTTACAAGCAATAGTATTGTACAGTGTAGTTAGTGATGGTAGAAGTATGTTTGATCTGATTCATGTAAATAAAGAGTCACGTTGTCACTTAGGTTGTATGTGATGTCTGCAGTAGGAATACAGGATTCAGAATACTCTCAAACATGTTCTCTTGTAATATTCCACCAAATCAGAGTCAATAATAACATCACGTTTATCTCTGTTTCAGGCTTTCTTCCAACCAGCAGTAAGTGGGGACCTTCATGTTGTTCGCTATTCTAAAAAGATCACAGATTGTTTGTTTTGTGTTTGACTGTGTCCATTTAAGGATGTGGTTGAGTCTCTTTTCCTTGAAGATTCTGATGCTGGTTCAAACTTAGATGTCAATTGATGTAGCTACTTAGTTTATATGGAAGGTTTTATTTACCCTGAACCATGCATTAGGAACTTGTAAATGAACCTGAACTCATTATCTTTCAATCAGTCTCTTTTTCATACATTGCTTTCATTTCTGTTTTAGCTTCCGACACTGACTCTGACAACTCTGGGAAAGGATTCCAAAAGACTTGAGAGACCTCTCTGCACTTCTGTAACATCAGAGTAAGTCACTTCAGGTGTCCTCATATTAATGAGCAAACTAGAGAAACAACCACTACCACACTGGAACACACTGCTACTGTTTGGAATGGGTTAATGTGTGTAACCCCTCTCTTCTCATGTGTTTTAGGAAGGAGCTGAAGAGGACAGGAACTAAATGGAAACAACAAACATTGAACTTCCCAAGAACGTAACACATACGTATACTTACACACACATCAGTCTCACACATACACCTTTCTCACACACAAGCTCACACACACACTGTAAACACAGAATCCATATATAAAAAAAATCTGCTGTCAGAAATATTCATTGGTGATTTCCTTGAAACAGTTTTAACTTCATTTAATGCATGGTTTGGCTTTTTGAAAATTGTGCTGTAATTTTGTTGAATTATATAATGTAATATTGCCATAGTTTGGCTTTTTAAAAGTTGTGCTGTAATTTTGTTGAATTATATAATGTAATATTGCCATAGTTTGGCTTTTTAAAAGTTGTGCTGTAATTTTGTTGAATTATAAAATGTAATATTGCCACTGTGTGATAGACGTATCTCAGTCTTACAGGTATAATAGAATCAATGGAACACCATGAAAGTTTCTGGAAAGGATTAGATTGTTGAGCGATGTTAAATTAAGATCTGAATTTATATTATTCTACAAATAAAACGCTTGATTTTCCCCTAACTGAAGCCACCAAAACAATCAAATTTAATATATATTGCTGTAAACTAGAAAAACAAAATGTATTTGTTTGAATGTGTAGTGGAGCAGCACGTGTAGGTTTTGGTGATACAGTAATTGTGTAACATGTTATAACTTTGCTCACACTAACTTGTTTAATTGCATGGCCATAAGCCAGACAAGGCCTATCCACATGTTCCATTTGTACATATTTCTCTTTTACTGAAAATCGTTTGATTTATGATGGGACTTCACACTTTTTGACTGTACATTCTGTAGAAATAAGTTGGTGATGGGGCAAGTGAACATGTATTTTATTGCAAGTTTTTCTACTTTGTACATTATGGATGCTCTACACATAGAGCAATGATCGACCAAATCTAATGCAAGTCCTGAAAACAGGATTGTTAATGTGATCCATTTAAGAGATACATAATCAACCAGCCAAACAAGACAAATTACAGACTAAATTCATGCATTCTGTAATAATGTTCTTTGGTGTCCACATCACCAACAAACTATCATGGTCCAAACACACCAAGACAGTCGTGAAGAGGGCACGACAAAGCCTATTCCCCCTCAGAAGACTGAAAAGATTTGGCACGGGTCCTCAGATCCTCAAAAAGTTATACAGCTGCACCATCGAGAGCATCCTGACTGGTTGCATCACCGCCTGGTATGGCAACTGCTCGGCCTCCGACCGCAAGGCACTACAGAGGGTAGTGCGTACGGCCCAGTACATCACTGGGGTCAAGCTTCCTGCCATCCAGGACCTCTATACCAGGCGGTGTCAGAGGAAGGCCCTAAAAATTATCAAAGGCTTCAGCCACCCTAGTCATAGACTGTTCTCTCTGCTACCGCACAGCAAGGGGTACCGGAGTGCCAAGTCTAGGTCCAAAAGGCTTCTTAACAGCTTCTACCCCCAAGCCATATACCCAGACTATTTGCATTGTTTATTATTTATGCACAGTCAATTTACCTCTACCCACATGTATATATTACCTCAACTAACCGGTGCCCCCGCACATTGACTCTACCGGTACCCATTTACATTTACATTTTAGTCATTTAGCAGACGCTCTTATCCAGAGCGACTTACAGTTAGTGAATACATATTTTTTTATACTGGCCCCCCGTGGGAATCAAACCCACAACCCTGGCGTTGCAAACACCATGCTCTATCAACTGAGCTACATCCCTGCCGGCCATTCCCTCCCCTACCCTGGACGACACTGGGCCAATTGTGCGCCACCCATGAGTCTTTGGAGCAGTGCTGGGATCAGTTGAGAGAGAACACAGTGTGGTCTGTGTGGATATGGAGGCTGATCTATGATCAGAACATGCCCTTCCTGTAGCGGTGGATCAGTTCTGACACGTCCTCCTTACACACCTTTATCCAGCCGTCCTCCTTCATGTGGTACACTGGACAAACACAGACACAGTTACACATAAAGGTATTGTTTACATTTTATTTTCCTATGATTCAGCATATGAATACTTTATAATATGGATAAATACTTATGAGATTAGATATAATTTTATATTTAGTTATAACCTCTTGAATGGAATTCACACCTGGAATTTACACAACAAACAAACAATATCTCAACATACATCAAACTCAATCCTGCAGCTATCTATGCTTCACATGGTCTCACTTCAAGTCAAGTCAAATTAATCGTTATAGAATGAGTATAGGTTCAGAACAAGGTCACTCACGGTTGACCACTCCTCCAGAGTAGGCGTCTCTGTGCGTGGGTGATGCCACGGCGGCCCAGCTCGTACGCCTCCTCTACCGTCATGTCCTCCACTCCGTATGCATAGCTGCTACCAGTAGAGAACATACGACCAGAGAGACGTGTGGCGTTATTTTTTAAAACATTTTAGTCATTAAGCAGACGCTCTTATCCAGAGCGACTTACAGTTAGTGAGTGCATACATTATCTTTTAATTTTTCATACTGGCCCCCCGTGGGAATCGAACCCACAACCCTGGTGTGTGTTGCAAACGCCATGCTCTACCAACTGAGCTACATCCCTGCCGGCCATTCCCTCCCCTACCCTGGACATTTGCTCAAAGTTGTTGCTCATTCCTGGCAATACATTAATCTATCATCTGATGAGATAGAAAATATTAATGAAAAGTAGCCTATGCCATCTATACAAGGCAAAATAAAAGTATATGAAAACAATATACATGTTTTGTCACATTCACAAGAACAATGACATGATTAACTTGCAAGCTCAACCCAACAGCTCAGTATTCAATATCCAAAAAGTATATCTAGTAAAAAGAATACAAAATAAAGAAATAAGAGCGGAAGCTATGTACAGGGTCAGTGCCAATATCAAATGTACAATGTGCAGGGATACTGGGGTAGTTTGAGGTAGATACAGCACATTCGGATGTATTCAGACCACTTGACTTTTTCCACATTTTGTTATGTTACAGCCTTATTCTAAAATGGATGTTTGTTTTTTTTTCCTCAACACACAACACCCCATAATGGCAAAGCAAAAACAGGTTTTTTAGAAATGTTTGCAAATGTATTAAAAATAAAAAACGGAAATATCACATTTACATAAGTATTCAGACCATTTGTTCAGTAATTTGTTGAAGCACCTTTGGCAGCCTCGAGTCTTCTTGGGTATGACGTTCCAAGCTTGGCACCAGACCCGTCGCCAGACCTCAGTCTTAAGGGGGGCATATGAAATGCATGGGAGGGCAGGGCACAATTATTATTAGCCTACAGTACATATATTTATAATAATCGTATACTCTATTTGCGCAGCACGTAATCATCACATTAAACATAACCAACAGCAATATGACCAGGTAGCCTATAGCCTACACCACATTACATAGAAGCAATGTTATGAATATCCATAAAACACTTGACTATACAACATATTAGATGTAACACCAGAAGCATCTCTCAAACATTGCATTTTAAAGCAGTCAACAGAGGGATATGCATTGCCATGAGACACACACACAAACACGCACGCATATACACACACACACAGAGACTTTGAACCTACCGGTACTTTGAGTGGAGGCAGCGCTGTCCTCTCTCCAGTCCCTCCTGTCAGTACAGCGGGAGGCGGCGTTTCTCCGAGCAGAACCTCCTCATCAAAGTATCCTTCCACTCGGACTTAAACTTGTGAGTGAGGTCCTTTTCAAAAGCAAGCTGAATCAGCTGGGCCTTGCGTCTGTGCAGCATACTGCGCCGATGCTCTGAGAAGACACTTTTGAGCGTGGAAAATGAGTTTTCACACATTGCTGTGGAAGCTCCTAAAGTTAGGGCAAGTGTGTAGGCTGTGAGAACAGTCGGCATAGCCTGGAGTGCACAGTTGAATGTGCTGAGGATGTTGGCTATTGTCCATTTTCCATCTTCGGGGGGAACCGGGGTGTCGGTCATTTTCTTCACCAGGAACTCACGAGCCACAGTATATTCAGATTCAACCACATCAGTTCCAGCTAATACCAGGGGTTACCTTTGATGGGTCCAGGAAATTATCCTCGGCCTCTGGGTTCAAAGCAGCCAGTGCGCCAATGAGCTCGCTACTGCGCTCTCCAAAACGCGCATTCATCTCTCCTTGCACAGCATCGATAACACTGTAAAACAATCTCATGAACTCAGCCTTTTCATCTATGTCACTTTGTGGCTGACCAACTGTTTCTTCAACTGCAAATCCGCGGAGGTTCTTATTAATTGTGCGTCTTCTCTTGCTTGGACCAGGGTCGGTCACCCGCACAGCCTCGGTGGCCGATGCTGGAGGAGCGCAGAGATCGCAGTGTCTTCACGCAGTCAGAAGGGATGTTCACAAGTGTCACCGCAGTGAACAAGTCCATATCTTCGGCCTGTAGTAGTCTGTTAGGCGGCTCGAAAAGTAACAACAGTTTCATAACAAGGTGCGCAATGAAAAGAAAACTGCGCTGCGTAATGGCACGAAGCAGCCCCGTAGCCTCGACGCGCACCTCCGCTCCAAGGCCTCGTGTGTTTTCCACCTCGGACAGTAATGTGGATATGTCGTGAAAACTCTTCACCACAACTTTGACCGTTGCCAAGTGGCCAGTCCATCTCTGGTCCAAGAGACGTTTCAGGGTATCGCCTTTGTACAGAATAGCCACGGTTGGCTTCCTGATGAAGTTGTACAGCATGTTGCATACTCCAAAATAATAATCGACAGCTGCTTCACTGGACATGGCATGAATCACAACCATATGAAGGTGGTGATTAAAGCAGTGAATATATGGTATGTTACGATCCAGCTTGTTTTGGAG